TTTGATAAGCTTAAACAGGTTGATCTCTTTAAGTCTCTCAGTGTAAGAGATTTTTCTCCAGCCCCCAAACCTTTTATTTGTGGCAGCTTTTTTTGCCCCCCTCTCCACTTATTCAATATCTTTTATAGCTTGTGGACACCTGAACTGTATGCAGTATCGTTCTAACCAGTCATCTCCCTGCTCTGACTTGCTACTCCCCTGTTTCTACATCCAAGGGTTGCATTAGCCCTTTTTTTTTTTTTTTTTGTCATAGCATCGCACTGGGCACTCATGTTGAATTGCTTGTCTGCTATGACCTTAAATCCTTTTCAGAGGCACTGCTTTCCAGGATACAGTCACCCAGGGGCAGCGAGTTATATACACTCGTAGTGCCCAGGTTCCAGCAATACTCAGGGCCCGGGGGCCCAACTCCACCAATGTTTGGGGCCAGGTCTCTCTCCCGGCCCTCCTGACGCCCCCCTGCACCTCCCCTGAATGTCCCCTGGCCCCCACTTGCTGCCCCCGCTCACCTCCCCGAGCCCTGGAGCTTGCAGCTCACACTGACTCTGCTTTGCCGCTCCCCCGCATCAACTGCTGCCGCAGGGTCCTAGTGCCCCCCATTCACAAATGGCAAGGCAGGCTGCCCTTACCCTACCCTTCCGTCCTAGCCCTGAGCCTCTCCAATGCCCCAAACCCCTCAACCCCAGCCCTCATTCCCCCCTGCATCCTAATCCTCTGCCTCAGCCCCACAGCCCTCACCCCTGCACCCCCTCCCCCAGACCCCCTCCTGCCCCCAAACTCCCTCCCAGAGCCTGCACCCCCTCATCTCCTCCTGCACCCTAATCCTCAGCCCAGGGCCTGCACCCCAGACCTCTTCCCCCCACCCAAACTCCCTCCCAGAGCCTTAGCAGGTGGGGGGCAGAGGTTTTTTTTTGGGGGGGGGGCGGGTTCTGGGCTCCACCAAAATTTCTACAAACCTGCCACCCCTGCAGTCACCTGTTCTTCGCGGATGACCTGGATTCCTTGTTCCTAGGTTAATACAATCCAATCACTTAACATTGGGCTGTATTAAAACGCATTTTGTTTTGAAGGGCCCAGCTTACTATGCAGTCTAGATCGCTCTGTATGACTGCCCTGTCATCTTTATTATTTACCATTCCACTAATCTTTGTGTCATCTGCAAATTTTGTCAGTAGTGATTTTATATTTACTTTCAGATCATTGATGAAAATAGATTCATAGATACTAAGGTCAGAAAGGACCATTATGATCATCTAGTCTGATCTCCTGCACAACACAGGCCACAGAATCTCACCCACCCACTCATGCGAAAAACCTCTCACCTATGTCTGAGCTATTGAAGTCCTCAAATGTTGAATAGCATTAGTCTTAATACAAATCCCCGGGGAACCCTGCTAGAAACTCCCCCATTTGAGTTTTTTTTGAGCTCAGGCAGTTCTTAGCCCATTTAATGTGTGCTTTATTGATATTGTATACTGGTAATTGTTTGAAACAGAAAGTGGTACAGCCTTACAAAAGTCTAAGTATATATTACATCTACACAGGGAGGATCATCTGAAGTTTCCAGTATCGGCTTCTGCCATAGTATATGGATGTGAACCAATGGTCTGATCTGATGTGCTACATCCTATGTAATATCCAGCAATAAAGAATTTTTGGGATATGAATGTTGGGGTGCTTGGTACAGTAGGTAGGAAAGCCTCTATAACAAAGGGATTTAAAATAACAGCATGAATAGTATCTGTCAATGCAGAAACAATATGGCCTCCACTTACCAGCTTAAGTTTAGGTGGCGTAACATAGGACATTAAATTGCAGCCTCGGCGGTTTAGGTTGGACATTAGGAAAAACTTCCCAACTGTCAGAGTGGTTAAGCATTGGAATAAATTGCCTAGGGAGGTTGTGGAATCTCCAACGTTGGGGATTTTTAAGAGCAGGTTGGACAAACACCTGTCAGGAATGGTCTAGATAATACTCAGTCCTTCCTTGAGTGCAGGGAACTGGACTAGATGACCTCTTGAGGTCCCTTCCAGTTCTATGATATGTAAGGGAAAAATATGGTGAAGCTCAGTGAGGTGAAAAATAAAGCATTTCTTTAAATTGAGGCTACTGCACATGTGACTTATTCTATTTCTGTAACAAATTATTTAACACGACATTCTTTTGTGTGAAATAATAGAGCAATAACCTGATGGTTACCAAGGAAATGAGAACTAACCAATTTAATTTCATTCTGTGTTACCTTAGGCATCTCTGGCATTTAGTAAAACAAACGATCTTCACATTCTTGTCTGCTTCCCTTTTGATTTTCAGTGAAGGACTGAGACATTTCCTATTCTGTAAATGTAGTTGCCCCATTAGTGTAGAGAAGCACTTTGTAAAAATGATACCCTTTGTGTTACACCTCTGCTCCCCCCTGTGAGTGCCAAGGAAAATGTATTTGTCTTCCTGCTCAAGACACTTGTGTGTATATTTTTAAGATTGAAGGTCTAACCCCAATGAAGAGTTCATTTTTGTCTTCTGGCTGTACCAGCTTACCCAATTATTTATTTGTTTATTCTGTATAAATAACATGACAGTGAATCCCTGGCTAATTCTTCTTCCTTAACAGATATCTGTGCAGTACCCAAGAGATGATGCTTGAAAAGTCTGTCTGCAGCTAATCAATTGGAGCAGGTTTCCTTGCTGGAGTATATTCATATTTCTGCCCTCATTGGGATACTTGTGCTAAAGGGTGCCAGCACTCACTGGCACTATTAAAATGTCACAGACAGTGTAGGTGTGGGCAATGCTGCAAACAAGAAATTCTTAGGGGAGTTCTCACAGGTGTGCAGCCAAGCAACACTGCTACTCCCATACTGTCTTGACCTTGTAATGGAAAAAGAATCCATATCAAGCTGTTCCACAGCATAATCAATCAGCAGACAGATTAACCGCTCTGGCCATGAAAATTATATATAAATGTACAATATGAGGATCTAAAACTACAGAAGTGTGAGGCGGAGTGTTTGAAGTGAAGATTCCTACAGTTCTATCCTACAATACATTTTATATTTGCAAAATGAAGTATTCCCTCTTTGTGTAGTGACACACACACACAAATCTCTAAAGGGAATTTAGCAGTTTATATTAGAGGGACATGTCAGAGATCATTGTGACCAATTTAATCTACTACAGATTGTGTACTGAAATACAAACAATATTCCAATACCCTATCTGCTCACAAGAATGGAGCAGGCAGGCAGAGCGGACAGCTGGCATAATATGTGGACACATGAACCCAGAAAAAAACACAGCTGTTGGATCTAATTTTAAACCTAACAGTCTTGATCAAGTAGCTTTAGATCCTAATTGACTAGCTACAGTTAAATTATTAGTGGGAGTGGGGAGAAGAAAGTTTGAAGATACTGGTGAAAAGCTTTTGATACAGGCAAGATATATTTGCTCCAGTTATGGTTCGTCCATTTGTCATAGTAAGTATTGTGAATAGTTGAGGAAAAAGTGACTGGAAATAAATTCCAACTGGTATGTACCCTATAACATTGCTTATATCAGTCAGCCTTTCAGTGCCTTGATAACCAGAATTGCTTGTACGTTTAAACTTTGTTTTAAGCATGTGGGAAAGCAGAACTATTATGTAAATTAGGGAACTATCTAGGAATGACTATATTTTTTCAATGCCCTTTTGAAGAATATATGGTCACAGTATCAGTCACAAGGTTATTGCTGAGTTTTTACATCAGATGGCAGGAATGTAATAGACATTACTGTCACCTAAGAGTGCCACCTAGTGGACATTTGCAAATCCAGATTATTATTTTTTAAAGCATAGTGAATAAAAATAGGCAATAAAATGTAAATATCAATTGCATTTTAAATTAGCTAGGTAAAAATTCTGATCATATAGTGGCTTCTAAAAATTTTCAATCCTGTTTTCCATCTTCACAATTCTCAGATAGTATTTTTTAAGAGAGTGAGATGTTTGAGCCAGAGTAAGTATAAAGTTAAAGTGGAGCAATAATAGGCTGCTAAAGAAAAGGGTCTTGTGTGTTTCTGTTTTGGAGGGATAACTTGGCTATAAGGACTTGCGCTGAGTTGAAGATTCTCATGTTGGAGGACAATCCAGTGCCACCCACCCACTGGCTTTGGACATTTCCACTTTGTTCTTTTTTACCTGTTTGAAGAAAAACCAAATTGCCAGACATCTGAAATAACAGATTTCTGCTTTTTTTTATTCTGTAGAGTCTCATATTCAAGAACAAACCCAAGATTTTATATTAGTGTGGTCATACCGAGACAACTGCTTGTCTTTACGCTTATAGGCCTTGAACACACTAGAATATTGTTTATTTAGCTAAATTGATTTTTAAAGCAATCTATTTAAACTGTTTAAATCTATACAATTCCCTAATACAGAGGCACTTAAACCCCAGTTGAAATGTCTGAATTATATCATCAAGATTAAACACAAGATGCTATATAGTAATGCGATCATATCAGTATTGCAGGTTGCAATGCTTATGATTAAATGGTCTTTTTTAACGAGGAAGGAGAAATACAGAAAAAAATTGTGTTCTCAAATTGCTTATGAAATCTTCCTTTCATAAAGCATTGTAGGTAAAAATCAAAAGACCTATGTGCCCTCAGTGTTAGAATTACAGGATGGGGGAAGGAGGCGGGCAGGCCTGGCACTTCTAGGAACATTGGTAGCTCATTTGCCAGAAGGTCAGATTGAAATGAAAGTAGGTCCCTTGTTTTGTTCAGATGAAATTAAACAGTGCTAGTAGAGCCCCCTTTAACTTGCAGTTTCCTAGCTTTTGTGTGTCTGAAGACAGTTGTGTTAATTCCAATAATATATAATTTAAGGCACAGTAATAAAGATTTCAAGATAACTGCCTGAGATGCTTGCTTCACTCCGGATTTACTCTATTAAAGTTTATTTATTTTGTGCTTCCTTTCTCAGCTTTTGCCTCACTGTCTAATATTGTTATCTTCAACAGACAAGTACAGAGCCCCCAAAGCTCAGAAAGGAAGATCAAAAAGATCGAAGTGCATTACTAGCAGATATTCAGCGAGGGACTCGCTTAAGGAAAGTTACCCAAATCAGTGACCGAAGTGCACCACAGATTGAAAGTAAGTGTGCAGCTTTGTCAACTCTGAGAAAGGGGCCCAGGCCTGCCAATCTCTTGCCTGAGTAGTCCTGTAGAAGCCAATTGGACCACTTGTATGACTGAGGGTCTGCAAAATTAGTCACGGCCTTATGTTTGTCTTAAGGCCAACTTCAGTATGGACAACTACTGAGGGGAGGGCTTGATTTGCCAAATTTAGAACCCACTTTAAATCATAGGTTCTAGATTTGTCATTTAGCACTTTATAGCAACATAAGTGCACTACACTAGACATTTCACAGTCAAAATGGAATTTACACCCCTCCCCAGAAGAGCTTACATTCTAAATGAGAATGTTGAGAAGAGAATTTGTTGACTGTGGGAAAAATTAGGAGACCTTTTTTCCTTCCGTGTTTTGTTTTATTTATCTGATAAATCCTAGAAGCGGAGCTACTCTGAAACAAGAACATTTATTGGCTGCCTAGCACAGGTTTCCATTTAGCTACAAATATATTATTTTTATTATATTACCCCTGGAAAGCTGATTTTAAATTTAAAAGGTAAAAAAATAGTTCTAGAGGTATTTAGAGACACCTGTGGGTCGTTCCATTCTCTCACAAACCACTTCCAGGCTTCTGAGTAACTGCTGGCAGGTTGCCAGATGTTTCTAACACTGAAGGAAAGAGTCTTACACATGTGTGACAGCATTAATCGGTGCTGGATACCCAGCTGATCCACCGGGGAAGTGATGTGCAGATCAGCTGGACCCAGTGAAAACCGTGCTTTCTTAAGAGATTACAAGTGACTTCTGTCACTGTCAGCTACTCTTCAGAATTGTATGAAAGATTAAAATCTGAATTTAATGATAGTTTAACAGCTCATCACAAAATGATGGCTGAATACGAGACTAAAATGTCCTAGCATTATTGAGGCACGAGAAGGTGCTGTGGTCTAAGATGTAGGTTAAATAGTAAAGTTGTCTCTCTTGCACCCTCAGTAACTTTCTTGGCTGTATATGTTAAAACAACAAAATCAGAGGCTGGTGTTTGCTGGTGTTAGCCCTTTGAAAAGCCTGAATGTAGACAACAAAACACATCTATAAACTCCTCTCCTTGTAACAGAACCCAGAGGACCTAACAGAGATGGAGGTGGACCAGCAACCAGCAAAAGTGGTGCTCAGCCATCATTGGGGGGCTTGTTTGCAGGTGGCTTTCCCATGCTGAAACCAGTTGGCCAAAGAGACATGACGGGTAAGGACACTTTTCTGTAGGAAAGAACAGACTAATGAAACTGGGATTGTAATGTGAAATAAAGACACTCCATGTAGCTTTTGTGATTTTTTTTAAACCTTTGATTTATTTTGGCACCAAATTAATACACCTTTATGTGCACCTGAATCCCCCTTGTCTGTGCCTCTGCCCTTAAACGCTAAATAGTTAACCCTCAAGACCAATGATAAGAAAAATTGCCTAATATAGAGATACTCTATGCTTCTAATCCAGTTCCTCAAATCTACTGCACTACAGATGTGCACATTGCTTTAGAGACACATAATAAAAATCACTGCCCTCTGAAGCTTACAAAGTTAGACCTTGATCCAACAAATTACTTAGCCAGACTTTCAAAGGTATTTAGGTGCCTAGTGGGATTTCTACACCTAGCTCCCATTGATGTCAATAGGCTCTTTTGATGATCTCACTAAGTGCCCTTAGTCAATGGGACTTGGGCATCTAAGTCATTTTTTTATGAACATTTCAGCCGTAAGCAACTACCTAATTTTAAGCATGTGGGCTTTCACATTGACTTGAATGGGGCTACTTGCATACTTACTTAGGCACATGTTTAAGTGTTGTGCTGGACTGGGGCCCAAGGAACTAAATCTCCATCCCCCTTGATCACGTGAGTAGTCCCATTGATTTAAACAGAACCACTTGGGTGTGTAACGTCTGTGAATGTATGTTTGTAAGGAAGCCCCAAGTAAGACGTGACACAGTAACTGTGTGTGTGTGTAAAAAAAAAAAGTGTGTGTGTGGGGGAAGTGGTGTGAGGGCTGAAGGTGGTAACACTAAAGGAGTGAGAGCTATGCTTTAGTTGTGCTCTTGTTAATGTTTTGTAATCTATATCAAGTATTAATTATAATTTTGTTATATTGGTAATTTGTGGGAGTTAATGAACACTAAGGCCCTGTCTTCACAGGAGGAATTTTCCAAAAATTTCCCACTGTTTTTGAGATCCATGAAGCTCCAGGGATACTAGTAGTGTAGACAGAGAGCCTGTTACTGCCACTGCTGTATGTACCTCCTCAGAGCAGTTGCTTTTAAGGCACAGTAGACCCCAAGCTTATTAACACTAATGCAGCTGAACTGCTGTTGGTAAAGATGGGAAATTTTGAAAAATGGCCCTAGTCTCGATGGTGCCTAAGAGATCAGTATTAAAAGTGAGCTGAGAAATGAGTCTAGAAGGTTGCTTGGTTTCAACACCTGTGTTCACTTTTAGTCATCCCAATCTTGGCATAACTGCAAGGGTAGATAACATACACTGTATCTTAGTGTACATTGAATTATTCACCTGATACTTTTAAAACAAGAACTTAGAAATTGAAACTAGAACCTGCAGAACTTCCCCAGTCACTTTTCTAGTGGCTTTTATATAGACCTGTTTCTCCAGGTATAAGAGGAGTTGGCTTTCAGTATCTGGTTACCCAGTTGTGACAGGCTATCACCATAGGTTATAGAAAGGTCATTTTCACAGATAATGGGCTTCATGTCTCCATTTACTCCATTCTCTCTCTGTGATATGGAATTGAAATTGTCACTGCGTGATTGGTTAAGACACTACTAAATTGATTTCTCCCCCTCCCCCAATACAAACCACAAAATTGTCTCAATTTCCTGTGGCAGTCAGGAGACAAACATTTCTGAACCAGGAATGAAAATGAACAAGTGTTTTATAAGATTTCCTAGCTGGACCTAGAGACAGGAGTTAAAAATTAAAATTAAAACCTGAGCATGAAAACATGAATTTTATTCCATTTCCTCTGATAGTTTTGCAATATGCTGGACCAAGATAAGTAACACATTCTGGATGCATTGTGTTAGTAATATGAAGCTCTGGGGAAAATATTAGTTGAATTCTTCGAAAATGTGTCAATTAACTAATCACTCAATTAAGTGAAAATTACTTGGGACAGTTAATTAGAACTGAAACTGATCTTTCTCGCTTAGGAGCTGTGTGTGTAAGTTTAGGGGAGCTATGGATTCAGGCCCTTTGATCCTGGCCTTCTGTAACAGGTAGTCAGCAGACATATATATTGCCTTTATCAATGGAAAATAAATGCTTGCTTGATATAGAACTTTTGAAATAGTAAATGGGCTTGTCACAGAACTGCTTCCTAATCACTGAAGGCAGCTGTGAGTGCCAAAATGGTGGAGTTGCTCTTTCGGAACTAATGTAGGCTCAGACACTCAGCATCCTGTGTGCCTCCTGTGTCCACATATCCCTGGTGTATGTGGCTGAAATAGCCACAAAGTTATGGAGCCAGCCATTTTGTTATGGCCCACCCTGAAAATCCATGGGATGGAGGGATCCCCACAGAGCACATCTGCACGGTGTGCAGGAAGTGAAGTGTGCACATTCACCGCATTGGAACCACATTAGTTCTGTGGCCTATTGTGTCTTCTCCATCCACTGATGGAGAAGGATTTTCCCAGTATGATTGAAGTTTGGGACACAGCTGGATCAGCAAGCAAGGAAGGTATTGTATCAGAGTTGGTGTTTTTGAGAATTTGGTTTTTAACATTAGCTCTGCAGCCAGATTTGCAAACTGATGAATCTGGGACCTCACTGTCAGAGTTAAGAAACCATGATGTGCATCACCCGCCTTCAGAGGCTGAGAGAGCAGAATTGGAATAACACCTGCATTTTTTTATTGGCCATTGTAAAAGGCAGACTAGGTGGAATATTCTAAAAGTGCTACTTTGAGTGAACCAAGTCAGTCCCCAGTGCTTCTACCACACAGGAGCAGGCATGAGCAACCTTAAGAACAGCATGTGGGTTAGTACCCAATACAGCATGCAGTTTTAAAGGCACTTGTCTGTCTCCATCTCATTCTACCTTGTGCAGAGTGGAAAGCCTGTGTCGTGAGCTGTCACTTATGATCTCCAGAATTTTCCCTAGAGTAGTTTTTCCCCTCAGGTTTGTCAGGCTCTCACATAAGGGAGTACTAAAATGGCTGATAAACTGGAGAATGTTAAGAGGAAAATGAACAAGTGTCTCTTGTAGCAAAGCTCTGCAACCCAGTCTGGCTGGGGTGTGTGTGTGTGTGTGTGTGTATATATTTTTCATTCCAAGCCTCTCAACCACTGTCTGCAGCAATCATGGACTCCACTCCTTACTAGCCAGACTGAAAGGGGGACTATTGCAGTCCAATCTGCAGTGGGCCACAGCACTGACAGATGTGACTGGTTTGGAGGAACAGCCTTGCTCCTAAGTGGCTGAAATTCCATCTAAATGGCCTAGGGCCAGGCACCATGAGAAGGGCCCTGCTTTTCATTCCTTTTAGTCTGGTCAGATAACACCATGGTAGTACGCTAGCCACAGAGACAAAGGGGAACCAAAAGCCTTCTCTCCACCTAGCACTAACAGGCTGGATGTCTTTGTCCCTGGGGCTTTCCACGGCATGGGAAAGTGTTACCTGATTTATTGTGTGGTTATTGATAATATTCCCTGTTAAGAGTTTCCAGCTAGACACTGGTTAAGCTTTTGAGGTTTGAAAGGTTATAGTCCCAGAATCAGGTGGAACAGAATTCAGATTTACTTTAGTGTCTGGTGGGAACCCTGATGCGCCCAAAGGCGACACACACACTGAGGGCAGAGCAGAGCTTTAAATACTTTTATTAGCACAATTAGTAAAAAAAAAAAAAAAAAAGTTCCAAACCAAATGAGATAGTAGCTAAAAATCAGTAAAATCAGGCTGATGTCCTTTGCACATACTGTCATACCTCTCATGGAAACCTAGTGGTGATCCACAACGGTCCTACCCTACCTCTGGCATACCAATCAAGTTCAGTGGTCAAGATCTTGAGGCATACATGGTGGTTTGGCCTATTATAGGGTCTGTTGGCTGTCATGAATAATCATATTAATGCCTGGCCTCCTTTATCCATAACTAGCTTTCTCACTCTAATAATGTTGGTGTCTTTATTCTGTGGGTTAGTATATTAATCATCCCAATTTATCATTTACATCAATTTGTTGCCAAGGCAAGTTCGTGGTTATGTATTCCCAGATGTTCCAGTCCTAAAATATCCAAAGCTGGTATCAGTTTGATTTCCTGTAGTTACCTGGTATTTTATACGATCTTGTAGTAAAAATCCCCTAAGTAATCCACTCCTGGTTCCCCAATAGCTTAGGGTTGCTGTTAGGCAACTCACTTATGCTAAGTCTCAGAGGCCTCAAAGCCTTATGCTAGCAACTTAAGTTAATGTCTTACAGGCTATAGGCCTATAGGTTTCTTGCATTATTGCTAAATAAAATGCCTTTAGTCTAACTCTATGGGCTACAGAAAGGTAAGTCTTCAAACAGATTGCTTACACAGAAGCTCACTCCTCTGCAGAGAATGGGCACACTTCCTGTTACATGGGGAAACTGAGGCAAAGAAATGAAGTGACTTGCCCACTGTCACCCAGCAGGCCAGTGGCAGAGGTCTCCTGAGTCCCAGTCCAATCCCCTGGAACATGCTGCCTTCTCGACCCCCTCAAGTTAGAGATTGTCCATTGCAGAAATACTATTTACAACATGTGTGATGGGGAAGAGTGTCAAATCCCTTGCAGTATTTCAGAAAAAGTTTTATTGGGCAAATAGGACCAGCTCCTTTTTTGCGCTGTTTTTATCTGACTATTTGATACCAGGCTTATGTGTTGGTCTTTCATGATCTACCTCGAGGTTTTGTTTTCCAGCTGGCAAGGCTGGGCAGCTGCCTGGAGTACGAGTGCCTCCTCCAAAGTCTCCAGCCCCATTGAATGGCAATGCCAAAGCAAGCAGTAATGTTTCAAGTCCACTTGATTGTCCAAGAGCAGCACACCCATCGGAGCTACTCAGTGGGCCACGAGCAGGACCAGCTCGGCCCAGCATGCCTGCCCCTCCCCCACCTCCGCCAGTTTCCAGCAAACCTTCCCTTGTTTTCCCACCTCCTCCACCTCTTCCCTCTCCTCTGGAAAAACCTGCAAAAGTGTCACCCCCGAATTTGGTGGTTCCTCCACCACCACCACCACCTCCTCCGAGTGACAAGCCCGCCAAGGTTCAAGCAACAGCTTCATACCTGCCGCCTCCTCCCCTGCCCCTGGCACCGCCTTGTGGATTGCCAGTTAGAACTGACTTTTATTGCACTTCTGCCCCACAGCCTGATTTGAGGGATTATCCACCTCCAACTCCTCCCCCGCCTCCACCACCACTGCCTCCTATTCCTTCATCAAGGGGATCCTTGCCGCTGCCACCCTCCCCTACCTTTAACAGTGCTGTGAACAGCCATGACATTCCACCCGCACTGCCCCCCAAATCTCCACACTTCTTGTTCCAAAAACCTGGTATTCAGTCCATGCCTCTCCCTCCTGCCCCACCCTTCCCTCAGCCAGCTGCAGCAGTGCAGAAGAAGAGACAAGGCAGAGGTGCAGGTAAGTTTTGAAAATGAGTTTTCAAACTACACAAGGCTACAGAAAAATACAACCCTAGTCTGCGAGCTACAGTGGCAGAAGACAAGATATCTAGAGCAGCAGGATCTAGGCCCCACGTGTAGAGAGGATCTCTGAACCTGGGAGCATAGATCACTGGGAACTCAGTGAGAGCAGCTGCTCCGGCTGTGGGTCTGTCTCCCACACTGCTGAGAAAACTAGTCAATGCTTGGCTTTCTCTTCCTGAGAGCTGAGCGGTGCAGCAGGTTGGAACCAACTTTGGGACAATAAGTATTAAGTGGATTTCCTGGGGAATCCCTTGGGAGAGATTAATTCAAATTACCTAACTCCAGTTATGCAAAAACCCAATTTTTTGAAGCTAAGCCCTTATGGAGAGGGTCATTGTCTGCTGACTACCTGTTACAGAAGGCCAGGATCAAAGGGCCTGAGCTGTATTTAAAAAAACAAAACAAGAAAAACCTGATCTGGCCGGCCTGGGTTCTGGATATAAGATAGATGAACTTCTAACCATGGGGAAAACCTAGTTGTAGGTTTCGAAAGACTAAACCTATCAGAGCCTTAGTTTGGAGTTGGGGATGATCTCTTGGTAGGCTTTTTAGCATGCATGTAAGTTTTTTATTGTTTTTTTGTTTTCTCTGTCATGCTTTTACCTCAACCATAAATGTGGTTGCTTATAACTGTGGAAAATACTCTGATCATGGCCCCCTGAGAGAAAGCAAAGCACAGGTACTGGCCTTTTTTAGCAGTCTGGCTTGCTGAAGATATGCCCGTGTAAAGCAGGGAGCTGTGCAGCCATAAAATCCCTGGTCAGCAGAGTGAAAGGCAGGTTTCTGCTCTGGAGAGGTGACAGCAGAGAACTGGAACCCTAAAGGGGGTGCCCTTTGTGGACCCTGGAGGGGGAGTAAAGGAGCAGTTACCCTGAAACTGTGACACACAGGGGGGCAGTGTGTGTGATCTATGACTGTGTGAATTTCCATAAGTGCCAACAGCAGTGAAAGAAGTGTAGAAGGGCAAAGCACAGAGAAAAGTCGCAGTGTCTTTATGGGAAAGGAACAGTGATGAGAAAGACAGGAAAATGAGTTATGAACAACTCAAGAGAAGGCAGACAGTTGAGCTGCCTTTCTCTACCTAGCGCAACACTGAAGAGTGGACAAAGGCAAAGCTAATCAACTTGCTGTATTCTGATGAGGAAGAGGAATCATAGTTCAGGTTCACAAAGAAAATCCAGCCCAGGAGAAATCTTAGAACCAACTCCTTGGAGAGAAGCAGGGAAGAGGTTGATAGAAACATCCTCCATGTTCCATCCAGACCAAATGCATCATTGCAACAGGGATTGGGGACAGATATACGGGCAGACTGAGAGGATATAGGTGGAGAGGGGCAGACTGCATCTGGAAATCCAGCTGCTTGTAGACCAGAAGTGCCAGTTGGAAAAAATATGAAATTGGGTTTGTGAGATTGAGAAATATGCAGCTCCCCATAATAAAAACCAGCTAAAGGGTATGGGCTGAACCTTACATATGGACGTGTAGATAGCGCAATTAATTGACTATATATTTTTTTAAAGCTAAGGGAAACACCTTTTAAATATAATGGGTCAGGTATTCAGAGATAGTGATGAGTATAGAATAGATCCAAGCATTACTGCTGTAGTGATTCTAACATGACAGCTATAAAGTATCCTCCTACCATGGTGCCATTTGGCTTTGAACTAAACATTGTGTCAGGTCTAAAGTCCAATCAGTTCATTTTTCAAAGGAATGTCTTAAGAACTCATTCATCCATTACTGTATCTTTGTGCCGTCTGCTTCTTTTTAAGTAAGCCACACTGGAAAGTTAATTCCGCCTCCGCTGCCTCCAGCAAGATCACCATCAACTGAGCTTACAAGCAAGTGTCCATATACCCAAGTTTCATCCTGGCCAGCTGCACGTGAGCCCTTTCCACAGCACAGAAATGGAAACATGCACATCCTTGGTAATATTTTTCTAAATTAAACTTCTTTGCTATACTTGAAAGATTTCTACACTAAAGCCTGATAAATATACATCCTACCAAAAACCTCTCACGCAAATCTTACAGTAACTGTGAAAGTCCAGGGTGCATGAAGTCCACTGTGAAAAAGCAGTATAACTAGAGATAGAGAGATGCTCTGTAGTGTTCCTCTGTAGAAGAACCTTATACAACAACAAAGTTATAACTTCTCATTAGGTTTTTGGACTATCTGATAGAATAGAAAAGTAGACACCTGCTATAAAATTCTACAGGACAGTGCAAAATGCTATACAAAAGTAATAACTGTCTATTAAATTATATTGGGTTTAGAGTAATATCTACAGAAGCCTAGTGGTTTCATCCCCATTAAATTCTATAGGACAGAGGTTCCCAAGGACACTTTTTTTGGTTTGGTGAGTTGGCTGTTTGGTCTTATCTTTGTTTCTAGCTGCTTCATTACTCTAAAGCCAGGTCAGAATACATCAAATACTGTCCTAACCAGAGCTGTCCCTAGGGTATGGCAAATCGGGGCGACCACTCCGGGCCCTGCGCTTTGGGGGCCCACAGGCCGGTGTGATTGCCCAGCGTGGTCAGTCCCAGAAGTGACTGATTCGTCACTTCTGCCCCAGGCTCCGCACCCCCTTCAGGACGGCCCTGGTTCTAACATCATAAAAAATTGCTGTGATTGCCAGAGGCATGTTATATGATTAGTATTGGGATGGTGCAGTTGTGAACAAAAAAGGGGTGATTAACCAGATAATCCCACTTAAGATGGAGTTTTTCCACAGCATGAACCACTGTAAACGTCACTGGGATATCAGTCAGGCACTTCAACTGGAATAGTTAACTGCCTCATCAATTTTTTTCCAGTGGTAACCCAGCTTTGTTAATGGTGGCCAGAGTTTATTTTCCAGGTAATAGACAACTTTTTTTTTAATTCTCCAGATGAGTTTGAATCTAAGTTTACTTTTCATTCTGTGGAAGAATTCCCCCCTCCCGATGAATTCAAGCCATTTCAGAGAATTTATCCCAGCAAGGCATCTAGAGGTAAGTATTGAAAAATCTTGTACAAGCATGACAGGATTAAAGCTGTTTTTCCAACATAGTTAAAAATGTCAATGTGAATATAAATAAAGTAACACTGGGCAACAATTTAGTGTTAAATTATGATTGAGTTGCTAGGATATCATGTTATACTTTCAGTGTTACTGTTATAATGAATCCCAAAGATAGGATTCATTGTCTTTTGTTATAAAATGTTTCTAGAAAAAGATGAAACAGTAACGTGTGCTGACATGCCACCAGTTTAATTGTATTCATTACATTATTTAAGTAGGAAGCTCTTAAGTTAAAAATATTACGTAAACAGACTTAGCATGGTCTTGACTCAGCCTTAATGTGTTCATGAACAGGTGATGTCAGAAATTAACTGTGGTTTAATACTGAACCTGTAATCACTATATACGAATATAAAAGACAGTTCCAAGATTTCAAACCTGAGTGCTTAAAGTTGCGTCCTAACTCTATATTTTGGCACCTAGATAAGAATGACAGATTCTCAGAAGCACCAATACGCTGGGAGATACAGATGCTCAGCCTTTGAAAATCATATCACTGTGTTTTGGGAGCACAACTTCACCCACCCAGCTTTGAAAATAGGCATTTTAAAAATAGATAAATAAAATCACACAAGTTCCTATCCTAACCGTCCAAGCTACTATTTGTATAGATCCCATGGGTTCTGTATTATGTTAGACAACTCCCTACCCCCGAAATCTTCATGCTGGCACTACTTTTCTTAGACTGGTTCCAGTTTCTGTACAGGGGCATTGCATGATGTACTGTAAGCATATACAGAAACAATGGACATCCTGTAATAGATGGTATCCTATGTATCTTATAGATACCCCTACAAATCCTCCACTAAGAACACATGTGAGATGAGAAGATCCCTCTAACAGATCTCTGGTGCAGAACTACACAGGAGGGTGAAGATAACAAGATAATGTATGAAACAGAGGAGGTTTTGTTAAATGAGTAGAGATTATATTTTAACAATCAAATGATGCAGCATCACTGATTTGATATTTTTAACTGGAAAAAAGAAAATACTTTAATTATGCATTCTCTGAACTAGCCTAGTCATCGTATGGCAATAGAGGAGAGTGCTGGCACAGGCTTTTAAATGATTGTTGTTTACTTCAGGAATTTTTAAAACCAAGCACCATGAGATTTGAATTCTTTAGTAGTGGTCATTATGTAATTCTCATTCAAATCATCATCAAGATATCATCTCAAACAGTATTCCATGCATTACTCATATTTTTCTTCCTCATCTTTTAAATATTTTTAGTATTCCCCCAAAGAGCTCTAATTATATTTACAGGAGTTTTCAATTAGCTATCTGAAAATAAGATACTCTATATATTGTATGGTTTTTGGCATGACTTTATAATCTCATTGTAAGTTACTTTGCTGCCTGTTTCCTACCTACCGCCACCCCTTCCCCCCGCAACCTGCTGCAAAATGGCCTCTTCCTCAATATTACCACAGAGGGGTCCATAATTACAGGGATCTATTGGTCAAACATATATATATAGGCAGGAAAAAGAGGCTGCGGACACCACTGCACGCAGTACGCTACTCTCTCTCTCAGGTTTGCTAGTGGGTGTACCTGTCAGAAGGGAATGAGCTGGAACATGACTACCTGGGCTGGACTGCCTAACAGCATTGTCATGCATTAGCAAATAAGGCAAAGCTTTTCCAAAGTGTTTCTCCTCGGTCAGAAAGCAAAACTGGGATGAATGCATTTGCCAGCATGTGTGTGTACAAGGGCACAGCTGGACCATCATGTCGCTAACATGTGACCCTTTTGTACAGTATAGATTTTCTCTTTAAATACTGCTTATTGCTGCTGCTAGCTAGGAGCCCACCTGCCACTTGTCTGACAGGCTTTCTAGACATTGTCATTCCCTCACCCCCCATAATCCCCAACGTGCCCCTCTCCAGTTAGCTAAAGAAGCATGTAATAGCTAAATACTAGAAAGACGACAACTGGTATTGCTCATTCTCACCAATCTCCTTTGAACAGCTCTGCAGGCAATTGCCAGAAGTCCTCCTTCATTTATATGCTCCATGCAGCTCTTTTCACCCAATACTCAATGCGAGCTGTGAAGGGCTGTAGTCTGGAACTGCAGATTGATTCCCAAGATACCTCAGTTTGCCACAGGTGCCAAAAACTCTCCTCCCCTTTCTGCCAGTTGCCAGGGTAGCTGACAGGGTGGCGAGCTCATGCAGGTTACCTTAATTACCTCACTGGAAATCAGACTTTTCCTTGCAGGTGCATCCATAGGTTGGCTTGTCTCTGATTGGCTTAAAGTTATACAATAAAAATGGCCAGGTTAAGAGTGCTTCAGTCAGTCTTTTAATTCAAGTGTTGTTTCCCTTAGAGACTCAATTTCAGGACCCTGGTCCTGAGTTCCCACAAAGTAGCTATAATCTCTTGTTTTTCAAGAGCCCAGGAGTGTGGGGGTGCCTGAAATCATTCCAGAGGTTCTGCACTCTGGCAGGCAGCTTCTCATTAATCCTCTTCTTTCCAGGGGAGCAGTGGCTGCTTAGCTAAACAGAACTGATTTTGCAAGCAGTAGCCAGGAGGGGGAGCAGCAGGCTGCAGATCAGAGAAGGGAGGTAGGAAACTCTCCCTGGTAGGCTAGAAAGGGATCAAGAGTCTGGCTTCCATTTCAGTACAGACCTTGTGGGCAGGAGACAACCTGGACCCCTCCCTAGGTTAGCAGAGGTGGTAGTGATCTCCAAGGGAGGAAACTCAAATATGGAGCCAGAGCAGGGTAGATTTTAGGAGGATGGCTAGATTTGATGGTGGGGGCTGGGGAAAGCTGATGGCATTATGACTATTCAAATATGCATATGAAATTAAAGCCTTATTTGCATAAACTCTGCAGCATCCCAAATTGCAAATCTAGCAGGTATGTTAAATCCAGTTTAGGGATTTCCCTTTGCTGTCTATCTCTGGATAGTGTCTTTCTCTGCAAAGTTAGCTAGTAGCCTTGTCACCACCACCTAAATACTAAGGAAGGCAGAAGTGGTCATGCCCTTGTAACTAGCTGGACTTTAAGGACATCAGGTAAAGAAGATCCCAGCAACTCTGCTGTGAACAATTGGGGGTGGGGAAGTTGTTCACACGGTGCCTGACTGGTCAACAAAAAGAAGGTAACTGTGTGTGGAATCATTCATGGATGGATAAGTGGGCTGCAGGTTCCTACTTATGCTTAATATACTACCCCCCTCCCCCCTGAAGGGCTTGGGACCAGATTCATCAGTGAACTCTAGCAATTGGACAGCTACTTTGCATTGCTGGAGCCACAGACCACAGCAGTGAATCTGGCCCTGAGTCTGATGGGATAGAGGAAGTACAGAGTGAGGTTCTGGAGCTACTGAATTATCTCTTGGAAGAACAACTTTTCCAGCTGTAGAATGCAGCAGCACCATAGCTGCAGCACCATAGCACCCCCTCCTGGCTCTTTTTCTTGCCTGTACTGATCTCTTAATAAATAGTTTGCCTGTGTGTGTGACATATTGAAAAATAAATGCTGTCACCAGTATTGTAATTACAATAGTTAACTGTGCTTGAGCATATAAAATATAATAGTCAAATTTAGGTAGGCATCAACATGGGCATTGCATCTTTTCTTACAGAAAGTCTAATATGAGGCTATTCAGGAATAGTATTCTACTACAGTATTATTGGCATTGTGCATTAAAGCAAATGTGGAGTATGATTTCTTGCCTATTCTCATCTGTACTGGACCCTGTAATACTGTGCAACAAATATTTTATAAGGATTTCTAAAACAATAAAGTGTCTTTGTAGATTAGTTCCTCCTTTGTACTTTAACTTGTGTGCATTAAATGGAGAAGGGGTTTTGGGCAGCAGGCTCCAGTACTGGGACTTCAGGAGCCTGGCTGTGTAGCCCTGGGCTCCAACCATAGGGTGGCAGGTATTGACTCCCACTCCCCTCCACCCCCCCCCCCAAAAAAAATCCAGCCATGCAGCCCTGGCAGGGCTTCAGCCCCTGGTTCTGGCCCCCAACTCTGTCTTGGTTTCTGGCCAGGCAGTGGCAGATGCTGGCCCCAGGCACTGAGCCGCAGCAGGCTTTAACCATGGGGCTTCGGGATCTGGCTGCAAGGCTTCTGCCTCTGGACCCCAGTTCTGGCAATGCAGTAGCGGGTGTGGGTTCTGGTCCTGGCCTCCGGCTGCACAGTGGTAGGCGCTGGCCCCCAGCCATGTGGCAGCAGGCTCCGACTGTGGGGCGTCAGGTGCCAACCCTTGGCTCCAGCCATGCAGTGGCAGGTGCTGACCCCCAGCTCCGGCAGCGTGGCCCTGGCGCTGATCCCCTGCCCCAGCTGCTTGCACTGACCGACAGCTCTGGTCCTGGCCTCCGGCTATGCAGCAGCCGGTGCTGACCCCAGACCGCTCAGCAGCAAGCGCTGGCTCCAGCTACACGGTGGCGGGCGTGGACTCCTGGCTCCAGCCACGGGTTCTGGCCGTGCGGTGGTAGGCAGAGGTCCTGGACTCTGACCACAGCTCCAGCTGTGAAGCAGCAGGCTCTAATCTCTGGCTCCAGCCACACAGCTCCTCTCCCTGGCTCTGCCCTGGTAACATGGCAGCAGACACCAACCCCTGGCTCTGACTATGCAACAACAGGGCTCATCAACCACCCCCATCGTCCCTGGACCCTGCTGCCTCCCCTGACCTGCATCCATCCCACCATCATCTCTGACCCCCACTGCTGAGCCCTGGGGCTTGCGGAGAAAAGGGATATTAACACACACATGCAAGTAACACTTTTCACAGCCTCCCAGGTAGCTACTAAGTATGCTGTGAAAAGTGATATTAACAATCACTTTTCACAGTATTTTTATTAAGTCTACAATATACCCCTCCATATATAAATTATTTGGATGTGTATCTGTGCCTATTTAATTGTTCCTAAATTTAATTATTTTTTTAGGGAAAGTGTCAGTGAGGCTACCAGCGAGAGTTAGTGGCCGCACTCTGAGGCCACCAAAAATTTTGTTTTGATAACCCAGGCACTAGATGGTGCCTCATGGAAGCTAGCCAATAGGAGGTCCCAATCCCCACCCCTCTGCAGTAAACATCTAAGTCTGGGCTGCAGGGGGGTACCTTGCGATTCTCAGCTGCCACCCCCTTTTTTTGGAGTTAGATGTCTATGCCACTTCAGGTAAAAGTGTGGGAGGAGGAGGAGGGAACCTGCCTCTAACTTTGGTTAGGATACTAATTTAGGAGATCGGAAAAACCTGGTTGAAGTCACCTTCCCTCTGAGAAGAAGGCCTTTGAACAGGCGTCTGCCACTTTTCCAGGGGGATAGTCTGAGAGGGCCACTTCTCTCTCTCCTCTTGAAGCTGTTCCACTGTGGTTAAAATATTTTTAAAAAGTCACTGGAGCAGGGGCACTGGCTTCTAGGTCTCCCATGTGATTTCTCTAGCAACCACGCTACAGCGAGTCTTGTGCTTGCACACACTGTTGTTGGCCCAATGCCTTTTTCTTTTTAAAATTATCTACAGTGGAACAGCTTCAAGAGGATGGATTAAGGAAATACCACATCAGACTATCCCACAGTCCAGGGATCTCCCAGACCTCAGCTGAGTTCCCTAGCTAGTGGGCTAAAAGTTGAGGGAGTTGTCCTTGCTCCCCCTAGTCAGTTTGTCTAGGCCTGCCTCTAGGGGTCCGAGTGGGTGCTGTGGCACCTGAGCAGAGGTTTTTGTGAAGGGCAGGATCCCTAAATCTGGGGTTTAAGTGCTTAAATCCTTTCCTGAATCTAGCCTTAATTATTTAAAATTCCTCTGTATCCAAACCTTCATCCCACTACATTTTTATACAACACATGGTGCTGGCTGACTTTACACATCTGAACACATGGAAAGTGTGGGAGAAAGTGGATGTTGACTATCAGAGCCTGAGGTAGCAGGGAACTTTGACTCCATGTGCTGAACTACATTGTTGTGCTGGTAAATTAAATTTAGAAATTTAAAAAATATGGATGATACGAACACATAGGGTACCCCCACAAAACTAAATTCTTTTCACTACTCTACAGTGTGATGGTTCAGCATCCATGACTATTTGAGTGCTTGATGCTTCTGCCCAGTCAGTAAGGCACTGACTCAACAAACAATCTAAATCTGTAACTAAAGAGGGTATTGCTTTCTCCAGTATTATGGGAGAAGTGTATGCGGTGATGGTACACACAAGAGAGGGTCTCAACCTCAGCCCTTTATATAATATCACTACTATGCATGAAGGTAAGGGCCAGAGAGCACTTTGCTCAAAAGGGACTTTGCAGGGTGAAATTTTTTGTACAAAATAACTTAGTACCTGGCTCATGGTGCTGAATTTATTTATTAATTTTGCCAAACAGTAGTTCCCAGCAGATATGTAATTCCCACAAGATGACTGCAAAACTCTACTTATTAGTTCCCACAAGAAAATTAGCCCAAGCTTTGCAGTGCCTTGGTTCAGTCTGAAGGCATACATCTTGACACACCCCCAGACAGGGAACAGGGCTGATGTGTGCAAATAGCTGCATGAAATGGTGGGCATAGCTTCAGAGAACAATACAAAACAGTGCACTCTCTTTAAAGTAGTCATCTTTATTCCCTGCCCCCTTTGGCTCAACATAGCTAAGCCCAAATTCAGCATAGATGTGAAACAATGCCACTGTGCCACCCACTCCACTGGCTTTGAGGTTTAGTGTCTTTATCCTGCAAGCATTAAGCAAATCAGCACACATATTTTAATTTACAACATAGTGTGTTTCATGTAATGCTTGTACTAAGCCTGCCCTGAATGATGCTGACAAGAGCTTGAGTTTGGACAATCATGGTACATCTACACAACAAATGGCAGCCTGCAGCCATGAGTCTAAGCCTGGGTTGACAGACTTAGGCTTGCACTATGCTACTATAAATAGCTATGTTGACATTCAGGCTCAGGCTCTGAAGTCTAGGGTTGGGGTTCAGAGCCTAAGCTCTAGCTTATGCTGCAATATCTACACAGGTGTCTTTAGCACTGGAGCACAAGCCCAAGGTCTGTTGCCCCAGTCTCAGAGATTCTATGCCCCAGGCTGTGAGATAAACCCTTGGAGGCCCCAATCCTGCAAGTGACTTCATGTAGGAGCATCCCTGAACCACATCCAAGCCCACTGAAGTCAAGAGAATTCAAGAAGCACAGCATTCTGTCCATAGTCAGTAAGTTGCAGGAGCAGAGCCTTAATGTGTAAGAATGAGAACACTAGCATTTTCATCTCAGTTGTGTGCTTTTAGAGCAGAAGACGTCTCCCTTCTAAGCAGAACTCCTGTCTTAGAACTAGAGAGGAGCCAAGTGCAATATCTGGTTTCAGAAATTAGATTTTGCCTTTTTTTAAACCATGGCTGCAGTACACAGAGTGCACTAACAGAAGCAAGATAGAGGAGGAACTTAAAAAAAAAAAACAAAAACCACAAGGCTCTCAAGACATTTTACTTATTTAAGTGGACCAGCTCTTCAGTGAATCAGTATATACTCTTATTTCCAAGAGCATATACTTACATTAGTTTTATTTACCACAACACTGCAATCATTTACACCTAGGCAACATAGAACATGATTACACACACCAAATTAGTTACTATGTAAGAGAATCCAACACACTAGCGCAAAAGGCACAATAAGCACTGCCTGCCTGCATTTCCCTAATGCACAAGCCTGTCTAGCCAGTTGCTGGTATTCCATGGTTTGGGTATAGTTTTAGAATCTCTATTGACTATATGAAATGGTTGACACTGTCATTCAGTATCACATTTTGAGACCGTATGTGCTAAAGAATATTCCTTTCATCTTTATTTTATTTCAGAATCTGACAAGCAAACTTTAAAACTCCAGTCAGTCATTACTTGGCTACGTTTCCATTACATTTACCTTGCTTTGGCAGCACACATATTTGTATTATATATTCTGCTGAATACTGGCCTCTTTGGCACTTCTTAAATTATGGATGAAATTTTTTTGACTATGCACAATACTGCTTTGGCTGTTTTAAATCACTGATGATTCAATGTACAGCAGCTGTGGCAAAATGGCCAATGTTGTTTTGGTGGGTCCCATGCTTTTCTCGGCAGGGGGGCTAGGACACCACCCCTTGCCCTTGCTGTTGGGGCATCAAGGGCCCCACTACTGGCCCTGGAAGGTGGTAGAGGAGGGAAGTGGGGAATGGGTCTGGGTTTGCTCCTCACTCTAAGCCCCAACCCCTACAAGTTTCTTACCCTCAGTCCTTGACACTGGGAGAGGAAGTCTCCCTTCCTCCAGTTCTCAGCAACACCCTCTCTGCCTGAAGCAGGGAGGTTTTATTAGGTTTCTGACGGGCCTTAATTGACTACAGGTGCTCCTATTAACCTGAAGTAACCTTTCCTTTTCTACAGCGAACCACACCGTAATTAGGCTAGGGCTTATATATCTCCCCTCTCCCACAGCTCCCTGGCTCTGCTGTATTGCACAGCATATTAAAAGAATTACAGAAACACACTATAAAATATGGTTATTATAGCTATTTCATGCACTACAAAATGGTAAAACATCATAGTACACAGTGGCTCACCTCTGAACAGTTACTGAGGTTATCTGGATACTTGGTATAGTGGCCACTGTCTTACACTTGGATTGGCAGCTACGCTGCCTAAGAGACATGTTCAATGTTACCTGCAAAGTCAAGGGCATGGAATGTAGGACTCCTAGAGAGGTGTGGATCACCTCTGTCCTGTTTCCATTTGAAGCAAGTTGGAATTATAGTACTTATGGAAGAAGGGAGGTAAGTTCAAAAAACAAAGACACATAAAAAACCCAAAAGGGGATACAAAGAGAATTAAAGGGGAAGAGCAGTAACAATCAGAAAATCAGTTTGAGCCCAGATGTATTTCACTGGCAGATCTTTTTGAAATTGTATTCTACAATAGCCTGGATTAATACTGTTGTTTGAGGAGATCTGATAAAGCCACTACAGGAGTTTAACAGAAAGCAAGTAAATTGAAGGCATTATTTTATGGCTGTAGAGGCTTTGTGTAGCCACAGCATAAATATAGACTTACGTGTCTGCTGAATGGATTTAGAGCTGCAAGTGGCAGATGAAGCATTAGTAAAAACTTCCTTAAACTGTGTTTGTAAGATGTTTGATGCTGATTCCAAGCATCCGAGAGCTACATATTTTCTAGGGGTTGGGTGCAGCCCCCAAACACACTGTCAGTGTCAAAAGGGTGGTAAACTGATGCTCCCCTTCCGAGAAACTTCAGTTCCTCAGTGGGGACTTGTCTTCTCAATCATCAACCTCCCTCCAAAAGAAAAACTGGTTTGTTCATGCTGCTGCAATATTTCAATGGGTGGGAAATAACACCTTGTCTCCACCCAGCTCTAATATTGTCCCTCGTGTCATGAGTTAAGAAGGTTCCTTGATCAAAGCTCACCCTCTGCACTGGGTTAACTTCTTAAAGTGAAGGAGTTATGGCAAGAGCACATGAAAAGTAGATAATCACTGGAGTCACATGAATCCAAATATGAATGCAGTGGGTAAACTGGTGTTTGAATGCTGATGAAAAACTGCAAATAAACCATTTGTATCCTCCTCCCTGCAGAGTGTAAAGGAGTAACATTCAGATCTTAGCTTCGCTGTGAATTTGTGCCTTGCAAGGACTAAGCAACAGTTCAGTCATGATCGTTTCCTTTTCCTTGTACTAAATAAGTGGAGATTTCCTCCGGGTGTAAAGAGCACATACCATTTGGAGAACTCACAGAATTGTCTTTCATACGGCAGCCAGACTGCTGTCCCTAATTTTATTTTCAACACCCAGCCTCTGTTGGAACAAAAGAAGTGTTCTGACTGAGCTGTCACTGCATTGTTGTGTCTATCAATGCTGCCTTGGAGTCATTTGATTACACAATGTACCAGGCGCTCCGTTTGATTCTGCCTGCAATACACAGTACTATGAATCTAGGGAAAGGAAAAAAAAAACCTACCAGACATCACAAGTGCAATAGTTGTTTTTCCAAGGTATGAACAGATGAGGGCAGCACTGAGCCCTGGGGGGCATGATTCTGCTCATGTGTTCTGGCATAAGTCAGGAGTGGCTCCATTGCAGCCAACAGAGTTACACAAGCAAGCTCAGAATCAGGCCTTATCTCTAATTCAGATGCTGCTGTTTTTGTTTTTAAAACCTCTGTAGTTTCCAATGTGAAGTGGGAAGCGTACACTTACCTGGTGAAATTCTAAGCATTTGAACTTTGCTACCTAGCCTGAGCTATGTAGGGGGAGGGGGAGATAAAAACAAACAAAAACAATTGTTTGCTTTAAAAGATTATATGGAAATTACACTGGATTGAAGTTATTCCTTGTTTTAATTTTTTGTTGCCCAAACAATGAAACATTCTGCACTACATTAGCTGGCATGCACACACGGACCAAACAGTGACTCTCTCCTTTCACTACACACAGAACGGGACCACCGCATGATTGGACAAAGGAAAGCAATTTTGTTAACTCAATATAGCTACTGAGGAACATTTTTCTAGAAAGACAGAAGGCTTTTTGTTTGTTTTCCTCCTGCAAATTCAGCTATGTGGACTGGAGACTATCTTTCAAGGCTCGAAGAACTATAGAGTCTTCTTGTGAAAAGGCTAACGGTGTCCACTGTGGCTGAAATGAGATAACAGTGGTTTAAAATCCACGTACAGCAACAATCAAATGGAAAACTAAGAGAGGCTATAACATTACATAAAGGACAAAGACTTTTGAGACAATCTGTTCAGAGAAGGTATCAAAAGGGAAATAAAGATAATGGAGGCCTGATTCTACAATCATTTAAAGTGGTGTAAACCAGGAGTAACACCACTGAAGTTACACCAGCACAATCAGAATCAAACTAAGTCTTGTATTTATACATCTTATTTATACATGTGCAGATGAGCTGCTTTTCTGACAACTTAGCAGACAATTTAGTTTCTAAATCAAAGTATTAAAACGTTTGCTTACTTCACTTGAAGAACTTAATTTCTGTATCGACACAGTCATAGAAAAGGTCTGCTACTTCAGCAGGATCCAGAACCTCTGTACTGGTGAGGATGTCCTCCATAGCTTCTAAGCCTTGTCTTTCAAGGTCTAACATAATCCTCATCAGCTTCTGACCTTTATCCTAAAGGCAAGAAACAGCCAACTTAAAATACCCATTAAACAAATTCAAGTGACTTTTTACTACTCCTCTCTGCTGGGGGGGCACTTTCACACTATTTGAAAATGTCCTATTCCTCCACCCACCCACTCCCCCCTGCCCCGGTACTGATTTTTTTCTTTTTCTATGGTAGTGTGGTAGAACCCGAAGCAAAAATGAAAACAATGGTCTATCATTTAATATGCAGAACAAATAATAGAGACTAGTAATCAAGAAACAACTTTAGTAAAATAGTGAGTAGTAAATTCAAAGGAAATAAGAACGTTAAAGATTGAGCACAGCTTGGGGGATAAAACTTGTATAACTCTGAGGGAGTTTCTTTGATTCATCTCAAGTCTGGAAGCTCATTAACAACAAAAATACTGCAAGACAGCCAGGAGTTCCCGGAAGGATTTTCCAAAACCAGGCATGGGTACAGAGAACAGAATGTAGAACAGTATCCCGCAGAACATCACCCTCTTTACTCTACTCTAGGTTTAGTCATGGGATTAAAATTAATGAGTTTGCCCATTTACCTTTTAACCTTTGTATAGTCAAACAGCATCAAAGTGAAGGACAGATCAAACGTTACATCTAAGTTACAGAGAAGAAAGATTCTAGCCCGGAATAAGGGCTGCATCTGTGTCAGACACTGAAAGGTTTACTTGGCTGCTGCTTTTCAACATTTTCTATGTAGAAGGTCCTCTCCAGAAAATATATTGCTTTAGCTAGTTTTTAGCATAAAAGTCCACTTTCTACGTGAGTGTCTGTGAATGGTTGCATCAAGTGGCAGGACTGCTGTGTGTGTTTTGGAACGGACTCCTTGAAAAGAAAATGCCATTTCTATCTTCGTAGACTATTTCACTTATACTGGAAGCTGCAAATGAGATTCTCACTCTCAGAAGGACCATTTTTAGCAGGAAGGGTGGCTGGGAGTTTTGCAGGTTTTCTTATTGGTACTCTATAGCTCTTCCCCAGAAGGCTAGAGTCACTTATGCTAAGTTTCAGAGTATCAAGAATCCAAAGTTTCCGCATCATGGGCCCTGGTGAATTTAGTATTTGCTCTTAAGGGTGTTCTAAAATTTCACCTCAGAACACTGAATACTTTTCAGACAGAGTGGGCTGACTCAGTCTGACTTTCTTATTTATTCTCCATGATTTGGAGGTTGGCCTCAAATTAATTTTCCAAATCCACTACCGCCTTTTTTAAAAATTTTAAATGTGGTAAGTTAAACTTGTCAAGTTTACCATTTATAATTACTGAAGAAGCCTTCAAGTCATCTTATGTAGCAGTTACTTCCATCACCACCATAGGTCTGCTGGGCTTTTCTGATTGTGGGTCTATGTGACTCTACAGCTGACAGCAAAAGACCAACAGGTTGAGGTCAGAAAGTTTTAAACAGAAACAGGCTGCTCTGTTTGCTTTTTGGGCTCAGGCCTTTGTGTAAAACAAAAGCGAAACTTTTCTGAGAGAAAATACCATCATTTAAAGTTACAGAACTGGGGTGGGTGTCACTGTGTTAAAAGAGGGTTTTCAATAGCCCTTTCCTCTGAAAAATGCACTATGAACAGTCTTTTCCTTTATTAGCTCAATAATCAGAAGGCATGTGTCTAATGAATCTTACAGAAAAAAAATGAACTAGATCTTGTTTCATTCCCTTAACGGATGAGATGGGATGCACTAGGAGAAGATACAATAAATAGGATGTTTTTTCATGATGCATGGCATTTGGTGGAGCCATTGAATTTACCTGGTTGTGCTGATGATGAAATGGGGGAGTCATCAACCTACTGTACATAGTTTGCCAAAATGGCAGATTATTGATTTAATTCAACAGACCAGTGTTTGAATCCTTAGAACACTGGTGCTGATTATAGTTGTCTGCAGCTGCAGACCCCTTCTGTAAGCCCCCTCGAGAAATCGGATCCCCTTTTATCTAACTGGAGGGTTTGCAGTTAAATTCTGCTTCTTAAACTCCACCACTAGGAGTCTGAATTGAGCTGTCAGCAGGAAACTCTGGCTTCTCTTGCTTTCTGCTGAGGACAGACTACTGCTACCCCCTGTACAACATTTGTTCTCATTCTCTGTCAGCTCCTACTCTTCGTTTCCTTGTGCATCAGTGCAGCACAGCAAGAGGGAGAGGAGGCAGTTGGCGGTCTCGCAAGAGAGCATCAGACCATTCCTACACAGGTCTGAGTATGCGCCAATGATTTTGGATGGAAGGGTAAAGACCAAGGAGGGAGCCTTGGACAATGGGGAGGAGAGGCTGACATGCTCTATACTGCTAGCCAGTGTGGATTGTAATAATTGGAGCTCTGCTGATGATAGCTACCTACTTCTTTATTCTGCCCTCTTTATTGCGGGTGAAGTGAGAAAGGCATTTCCTTCTGACAATTTGGACCATCTGTAGAGTGGTCCTTTTGTGACTTGCCTGGTTTAAGGTCACTTTCTCCTCAAGGGAAATCTTCTTTCATGGCCTTTACAAGAGTGGACATCTTCGGCTACACAAATTCTGAGGGGACCAATGCTGCTCAACCTGTAGCCCAAAGGGGGTCCACACCACCCAGGGTAAGATGTAGTTATACATGTGATGTTTACCACTCATGTTCCAGCACCATCCGGTATGGGGTACACAGTGCTCTCTGCTGACGGACTTCATGAGCCTCGTCAAGGTTCCTTCCCCACTCTGAACTCTAGGGTACAGATGTGGGGACCTGCATGAAAACCCCCTAAGCTTATGTTTACCAGCTTAGGTTAAAACTTCCCCAAGGTACAAACTATTTTACCTTTTGCCCTTGGACTTTATTGCTGCCACCACCAAGCATCTAACAAATATATAACAGGGAAAGAGCCCGCTTGGAAATGTCTTTCCCCCAAAAATCCTCCCCAAACCCTACACCCCTTTCCCGGGGAAGGCTTGATAAAAATCCTCACCAATTTGCATAGGTGAACACAGACCCAAACCCTTAGATCTTAAGAACAATGAAAAAGCAATCAGGTTCTTAAAAGAAGAATTTTAATTGAAGAAAAAAGTAAAAGAATCACCTCTGTAAAATCAGGATAGTAAATACCTTACAGGGTAATCAGATTCAAAACATAGAGAATCCCTCTAGGCAAAACCTTACGTTACAAAAAGACACAAAAACAGGAATATACATTCCATTCAGCACAACTAATTTTATCAGCCATTTAAACAAAACAGAATCTAACGCATATCTAGCTAGATTACTTACTAAGTTCTAAGACTCCATTCCTTTTCTGTTCCCGGCAAAAGCATCACACAGACAGAGAGAACCTTTGTTTCTCCCCCCCTCCAGCTTTCAGAGTTTCTTGTCTCCTCATTGGTCATTTTGGTCAGGTGCCAGCGAGGTTATCCTAGCTTCTTAACCCTTTACAGGTGAAAGGGTTTTTCCTCTGGCCAGGAGGGATTTTAAAGGTGTTTACCCTTCCCTTTATATTTATGACAAGCCTCAACACACCAACCAATGTTAGATACATTCCCTACTAGACAGGATACAGACAGGGCTGTCTCAGTTTGGTAATTTCTAAAAACTTCTTTTTAGAGGGAAAACAAAATTCCTGCTCTGAGGTATAAAAAGCCACTCCATTGCAAGAGATGAGATGTGCAAGACTAACTATAAATGTGAGTTTGTAAAATTCACATTAACAAATATGTGAACACAAACGACTGCTGAAACAGGAATTGCATAAGATGTCATAACTTTAACAAAAAGTTATACATTATGAATCATTCCATGGCATTTTGGGCTGTATAAGTAGGGGCATTGCCAGCAGATCGAGGGACATGATCGTTCCCCTCTATTCGACATTGGGGAGGCCTCATCTGGAGTACTGTGTCCAGTTTTGGGCCCCACACTACAAGACTAATGTGAAAAATTGGAAAACGTCCAGCGGAGGGCAACAAAAATGATTAGGGGACTGGAACACATGACTTATGAGGAGAGGCTGAGGGAACTGGGATTCTTTAGTCTGCAGAAGACAAGAATGAAGGGGGATTTGATAGCTGCTTTCAATTACCTGAAAGGGGGTTCCAAAGAGGATGGATCTAGACTGTTCTCAGTGGTAGCAGATGACAGAACGAGGAGTAATGGTTTCAAGTTGTAGTGGGAGAGGTTTAGGTTGGATATTAGGAAAAACTTTTTCACTAGGAGGGTGATGAAGCACTGGAATGCGTTACCTAGGGAGGTGGTTGAATCTCCTTCCTTTGAAGTTTTTAAGGTCGGGCTTGACAAAGCCCTGGCTGGGATGATTTACTTGGGGATTGGTCCTGCTTTGAGCAGGGAGTTGGACTAGATGACCTCCTGAGGTCCCTTCCAACCCTGATATTCTATGATTCCGACATCTCAGTACTCCGGGATACAGTTCAACCTGTGATATTCCTGCCACAATCCTATTATAATGTGACAAAAGTTTTATAACACATCCCAATAACCAGTAACACCATTCAAAATAACTCTGTATCTTGTGACCAAATATACCGCTGTATTCACACTTGACACACTACTGTAATAATCTTTGTACAAGGTATGCCTTGTAAGATATCATTAGAAAACTCAATTTGCTGGTCAGTATTGTCCTGATAAAATGTGTGCCAACATTGTACTTGAAGCAATAAGAGTCCCCTGTATGATGTTATTAACACATGTTTCAAACCCCACAACTCCACCCAGGCAGTAGGGCAGACCTGACTTAATGAAGGAATGTGTGCTTGCCTTAATGTGCATTTAAGCAGTAAACAGAGCCTGACTTAATGAAGGAATGTGTGCTTGCCTTAATGTGCATTTAAGCAGTAAACAGAGTCATCAAGCAAGGAGGGAACACAATGGAAGTTCAAAGACGTGAAAATAACCCAGCAGGGACTATCCTTTCACATAGACTCTGTCTCTGGGTCTCAGCTAGAAATGTTTTTTGAGAGGACAAACTATAAAAAGGAGGGACAAACACCCCAAGAGACTCCCCTCCCTCTTTCCCACTTCATTCTCCACACCTGAAAAGACAAAAAGAAACAACCATTGGACTCTGGGGGATGGGTCTTGACCTGAGAGTTTGGTCAGTAATCTGCTGGAAGCATGTGGCGAGAAAGTTTGCTTTGCAACAGAGTTAGTTTCTTAAGTAGATACTAGTAAGAGTTTTATCTTTACTTTTCTTGTAACCACTTCTGACTTTTATGCCTCATTATTTATACTCACTTAAAATCTCTTTGTAATTAATAAACTTGTTTTACTGTTTTATCTAATCCAGTGTGATTAAGTTGAAGTGTCTGGGTAACTCTTTAAGATAATAAACTGGCATGTTATTCCCCTATAGGAACAACAGACAATATATTTATACTGTCTAGAACAGGGCTGGACAGTACAGGACCTACATTTCTGGGGAAATGATCTAGGACTGGGAATGTGTTGTGGTCACCCTGCAGTATAACCCAGGCTGGTGAGAGCCAGGGTATAGTTGGCAGGCTGCAGTTACACACAAACAGTCAGGGTGTGACTTGCATGCTGGAAGGCTGTTTGTGAGCGGCACAGGTGGGAGCTACATCAGCAAGGCATTGTAAGGTACACAAGGTTGCAAGGCAGAGGTGACACAGCCCCCCACTGATCTGGATTGTGCCCCGCATGTCACATATGTACAATGATTGCCTTTGAAAGTTTGAGGGATTTTATATGAGTTTTTATGGCTCTTGTAAGTTTCCCTTTGATTCTTTTTAAGGGGCAACTTGGGCGACCTGTCAGTTTTTTGTAAACATCTCTAAACTTTGATAGTGTTCAATAATGCAGCACTTAAAGAAAAAAGCCCACCACCACGCATGAGCCCTATACAGAAGCAGACAACTTTCATCTTTTTAAAATTCTATAAGCTGAGAGTCTGAATAATAAACTCTGCCAACATCTGATGGGAATTTTTTTTTAGTTCCATGTTTACAAAAATTAGTAAGAAAAGAATGCAACCAACCATGGCTAAAATGTTCACTCCTCCATTTTTACTTCTAAGCCTCTATTCAGGTTTTTAAGTGGGGGGAACCCCACTAATTTCCTTTTAATTAGATTTAAAAGTTTCTGTGGAAAAAGATTTTACAGAAACTTTTCTAGAAAGAATGAAGCATAAGTCATGCAAACATACAAATTTTTGTTCCCACAGTCAGCATTTTAGATCCCGGGTGTTTTAATTTTAAGAAAAAAAGCTGTCTCTAAAGGCTCCAGGTCCTAGAGGCTTTACCTGATTATTCTCAGTGACAGATCGGGCCCGCTCATGTGCCTTGTACAGTTCATGTCTCCGGTCAGGCTTCTCCTGGAACCGAGGTCTCTTTTTTACAGGATCATCATCACCAAGTAAAGGCGATTGAACTTTTGGTACTAGTTTGACGTCATCAACGAAGATGAAAGGTTTAAATATGGACCTGAAAGAGATAAGAACCTTATTCACAGGGACATTGTGTATATCACTCAGCAGTATATCCAGGCTACTTTGCCAACAGAGATGCATTGGACAGTATTGCATGTGCATATCTATATTACTGTGGCAGGATGGGGTCAGATATGGCACAAAAATAACCTCTTCTAAAAGAAGGAACACATGCCACAAGAAAAATCCATTTGCTTTCAAAAACACTAGGTCCTGCAAAGCTTTACATATTAACCTCTCTTTCTCCCCCTCCATGTCAGTTTCCCCATTTCTGTGAATTATAGCATTGAGCTTCCTTCCTCTTGATTTTTTTTTTTGGGGTGGTGGGAGAAGAGGGTAAATGTTTTGATCATCTTTAAATCCCAAAGTTTAGCCCCATACTACTCTCTTGCTTTCTTTTTTCCTTCATGTTCTCTCATTCCACACTTTAAGTAGTCTGTGGAAGCTGTGCTTAGAGTTTTCAAAGAAATTAACTGGCTCAGAACCAGTCTCCCAACCTAAAACTTCCCAGTGCTCTTACATTTGCACAGCATCAATTTATATGTCAATAAAGCTCTTCACACAATATACATCTTAAGTCCTGCACTCAGTTCAGAATTTCTTTGCTGAAACAAACTGAAGGTGGATATATTTAAAGCCACCCACTTATGAGGGCTAGAGGAAGATTTCTGGCCAAGTTATTACACAACCTACTAAGTATCTCTGAAGATTTGGCATTGACCAGCAGTGTCCAAATTGGGAAGTCAAGGAGAGGTTAAAGAAATGGTTACACAGAAAATACTGTAATATTTTTCATCAAACAAAGCATTTCAATCTGGAATTAGATGGGAGCTCAAAATTAAACACTGGATTTGAAACCTGTCCCTAACCTAAGGGAATTTCATATATAAAATCTAGATCTAACCTCTTGCTTAGGAACACAAGAGCAAATACTTTTAATAAACTGCATGTCACACATTTGTTTTTTAAGGCAGTGCCCTTCAGCCAGTGTGAAGGAGGATGCTAAAAGGTGAGAGACTTTTGAAAAGAAGATTGAAAACTAACGACGGACCAGGAAACTGAAGTCCATCACTGCTGCTCTATCCATCACTGTTGAGAAGCCCTGCCATCAAAAGGTTCTGACCTGAACAAACTGGGGCAAGACATGTCTTTTATTACAGATTTTTTTAAGAGAAGGCTTGTAAAACAGAAGTGACAGTAGCATGCAGAAATGGGCTGTTATTCTTTATTTGTATTTTAGCTGCACCTATTGTTTCTGATTGACAGCCATGGAGACGGAAATGCTCTCTGAACAGCGGAAGCAGGAGCAGCGCACACTGTCCCAACAATGCAGCTCAGTCTTAAACCACAGTGACCATTGCTAAGGGAGACAGTTCAGTCTCCAAGCCCACTGAATCATTGGCATCTGCAGAAACTGCCAATGAGAGTACCAGTTAGATAAGATGATAGACCACCTCACCCGCCCAGTGCCATATGTTGGGGGTTTTGTGAGGAGGATGCTTGTCCAATGAACTGCACTGAGACTAACATTTTGCATACATTCATGTTGTCAGTGTTTCCTATTGGGAACGATGGGGAGTGCGGATGAGAAGAAAAGCTTTGTGACTCCCGGCTGGGGAGGCAACAGTTAACAGACAGAGCTCAGATGAACCTGAGGCTCATTAGCCTCCCTGAAACCCAACCCTTTCTTATTTATAAGACAGACAATCAGCTGCTAGGGGTTTTCAGGGAGTGAGGAAGCAGGCTGGCATGACCAGAGTGGGACAGCTTTTCTCTTCACAAAGACACACAAACTCAGAGCTGAAAGTGAGTTTTTATTACATTTGATCATAGTTTGTCTAGAAAAGTTTTAACTCACAGAGAAGCAGGAACTCTGGTGTGGCTGTTTTTTCTTAATGTCTTGTGTACAAACCTTGGTTTATGGGGAGTATAGGGTGCTGGAGCTAGGGGTGCTGCTGCACCCCCTGGGTGTAAGTGGTTTCCATTATATACAGGGGGTTACAGTATGGTTCAAAGCTCTAAGCACCCCCCACTATATAAATTGTTCCAGCACCTGTGATGGGGAGAGGGAAGGACCTCTGCAAGTCTGTCTGTTTGCAGCCAGGCTAGAGGCTGTAGCTTTGCTATGGCAAGGAAAGGAATTCCAAAGGGTGTTTAAAGCCTGCTGCAGCCTTTATGCGACACAGATGGGAGAGCAATGGGCCTTGGTAAGGCGAAGAGTATTTTGGAGAAGCAAGCCTACCTACTGCCTTGTTCAGAGTCCAATGAAGACTTGAGTTCCAGGTGAAGGGTGAACCTCCCTTCAGCACTAAAGTGATCCCACAGGGGTCTCTTAGTCACTAAGGGCTTGTCTACATTACCTGCTGGATTGACGAGCAGCGATCGATCCAGTGGGGGTTGCTTTATTGCGTCTAGTCTAGATATGATAAATCGACTACCGAGAGCTCTCCCGTTGACTCCGGTACTCAACCAGGGCAAGAGGCGCAGGCAGAATCGATGGGAGAGCGTCAGCCATCGACTTACCGCAGTGAAGACACCGCGGTCAATAGATCTAAGTACGTCGACTTCAGCTACGTTATTCACGTAGCTGAAGTTGCCCAACTTAGATAGATTTCCTCCTTCCCCACCCCACGGTGTAGACCAGGCCTTAGAGTACTTCAGGAAGTAGCTAAAGCAACCATCTTTGAGAATTTATGGAGAATGGGTGAGGTCCCAGAGGACTGGAGAAGGAAAAACACAGTACCTACCTTTAACATGGGGAATGAGGAGGGCCTGGGGAACGATATAGACCAATCAGCCTAGCCTCTATAAATGGAAAGATACTGGAACAAATTATTAAGCAATCAATTTATTCAAACCTTGAAGATAGTAAGATAAGTAACAGCCAACAAGGATTTGTCAAGAACAAATCATGCCAAACTAATTCAATTTTCTTCTGATGGCGTAAACAGCCCAGTGTCGGGGGGAGGGAAGGGAAGGGAGAATCAGTAGACGTGGTATACCTGGATTTTAGTAAGGTTTTTGACAGAGCCCCAGATGACAGTCTTATGAGAAGAATATAAGAACTATGAAATTAACTGTAAGGTGGGTACACAACAAGTTGAAAGACCATATTCAGAGTAGTTATCAATTGTTCACTACAAGCTGGGAGAACTTATCAAGTGGAATCCCAGAACGGTCTGTCTTCTGTGAATATTCTGTATTTTCATTAATGACTTGGACGATGGGAGTTAAGAATATACTTATAAAACTTGTGGGCAACATCAAGTTGGGAAGGGTTCCAACCACTCTGAAGAACAGGATTCAAGTTCAAAATGACTGAAGGTTGAAGAACTGAAATCAACAAGATGAAATTTAATAAAGACAAGTACAAAATACAGCCCTTAGGAAGGAAAAATCAAATGCACCACTACAAAACAGGGAATAACTGGCTTGGCCGTAGTACTGCAGAAGAGAATCTGGGTGTTATAGTGGATCACAAACTGAATGAGTCAGTGTTGTGGAAAAAGGCAAATGCCATTCTAGGATATATTACCATGTAAGGCACAGGAGGTAATTGTCCTGCTCTACTCAGCATTGGTGAGGCCTCAGCTGGAGTAGTGTGTACAGTTCTGGGCACCACACTAAGATGTGGACAAATGGGAGATTGTGTCCAAAGGAGAGCAACAAAAGGGATAAAAGATTTAGAAAATATGACCAATGAGGAAACGTCGAAAGAACTGGGCATATTTATGTAGAGAAGAGGCTGAAGGGGGAGTCTTCAAATAGGTAAATGGTTGTTACAAAGAGGATGGTGATCAATGATTCTCAGTGTCCATGAGGGTAGGACAAGAAGTAATTTGTTTAATTTGCAGCAAGAGAATTAGGTTAGATATTAGGTAAAACTTTCTAGCTGGTAGGATAGTTAAGCACTCGTGAAATCACCATCACTGAAGGTTTTTAAGAAGGTGTTAGACAAACACCTCTAAGGGATGGTCTTGGTTTACTTAATCCTGCCTCAGCATGGTGGGAGGGGGACTAGATGACCTCTCAAGGTCCCTTCCAGGTCTACATTTCTATGATTTCTAAGACAACTAATAGTCATCTGACTGTAGTGACCTTTGGTTGTCCAAGGGGATAGTCAGATCAGCATCCTCTCCCCAAAATTATAATTTCCCTAATGTACAGTAAGTGGCAAATATTTTCTTAAGCTGCAGGTGGTTTAGTTTAAAATACAATGCAGAGTGACCCAAGCTGGGATTCACAGTTCATGGTGAGAGAGACTTGTTAGGCCATGGGTTGTTCCCTATAGTATTCCCCAGTACTCTGTCCTGCCCAGATTTAAGCAATAGGGTTTTTATTTCTTCTCAAGAGGACGTTTCAATAAACCTTTACGTAAAAATGTTTCCTGCTATTCATCATAACTTTTCTTTTGCTAATTTTATGGTGTGGTAATTTTATACGGGGCTGTGGCCACTTAGGCCACCCTAAGCAGTTCCTCTCCCTTTTTGAAGTTTACACACTGTATATATAGTACTCAGACTTGTGTGTTCTTTTAATCACGGTCTGGACAGTAGGTACAGGTTAGTGTGTCAAGTCTTTCTTTTACTCTCCCTGCCAGTCACAGGATACAGAATCAAACCGCACCACTAGGCCCAACAAACAGAGTAGGGCTGGGAGCAGAACACAACAGCTGTGATGTCAAATTGATCTAGCATGTTTCATGTAAATATGTGTGGGTTTTTTTCTTTTTTTATTTTTTTTAAAAAAAAAGCTTAAGTGGTCACTGGCTTTTCAACTCTGCTAGCTTCCATTTTAAATTGCAATAAGCTACATTTAAGTCACATAGCACTTCAGTGTTCCAACAAGGCTTCTAGGATGCACATAAAGGCTCTGTCTGTTGAATGTGTTTCTTATGCTTTCTAACATAATGTAAAATGTTAGTAACCAGGCATGACTGTGTCAGACTTGTCTACTCTGACAGGAAGTGGTTTTTATAGTACCACAAACTTGGGTGAGGAAGGGACAAAGGGATCACCTTGCCTGTTTTAAAGAATCAGATTTGAACCTATGAAACAAAATCTGAGTCAAGGTTGAAACTTCCCTTTAACTCTGTTCTAAAAGTTACTGGAACTAACCATTGTGGGTTCACAAATTAACAAAAGGAAATGGGGAGAATTAGGAAAGTGACTCGTAGCAAAAAGTTGTTTTGGTTTTCAAGAGTCTATTTTAAAGTATAGGCGTCAGTACTGTACTTGTCCTTTTATTGAGGTATTAATACCCTGATCTAAAGCCCATACAGTCAATTGAAGACTTAATGGATTTTGTATCAGGTCTTTGTGGTTTTTTTTTTTTTAAGATAAGTCTCTTGACATAATTAAGTACAAGAACCACGAATATTCCAAGAAAAGTTTCACCGTAACTTTATATTAAACATGATACAACCTAGATGCAGCATAGATTGTCAGACATCTAGTTAGCAACATGAATATGTTCAAGTTCTTGGGTTTTTTTACATTAAATCCTAATATATCTCAAAACTGCAAATGAGAAGTGCTTTAAATGCTACATGCACAATAATATTACTCACTCACAGTATTATTACTTTTGTAACACTTTGAGAACATCTGAATAAAAACTGAAAGACTAAAACTTTTTCCCATGTTGGTTTTGGGTGACTAAGCAGAGATTGCAACTTCTAAGAACTGCCACATTATTCCATAAAGTTGAATTAAGATAACTAAACATTTTTTTGAATTGTTTTCATTTCTGTAGTTTAAGAATGAGGTTTGGACAAATTTGTTCAAACTTATTTTGGCAACACTGGAAATAAAAAGGCCAGAACAATGGAATATCACTAAGCCTCTTACAGTACATGCTCAGCCATTATAATATAGGGCACTGTGAGAATAATTATTCTCTTTCTCAAGATTAAAATTTAAGAACTTAAATTGAATTTACATTAATTTTACCACTGTCTGCTGATATCTCCCATAAGTGAAATGGAACAGAAGGAAAGGATGTCCCATTTAAAAGGACTTGCCTCCATGGTGAATTATTTTTCAATTACCAAAGCCAGCACTCTGAACAAGTTAAAATACCATAGCAGGGATTTAAGTGTAAGACCAAATGTATGGAATGTTAGTGAACTACTGTTCTTTACACTAAGATTAACAAAATGTTTTTTGTCCTAGTACCATAGATATTTACCGGGATTTCTACTTCAACTGCATTAAAAGAGAAACCCATGTCCTGAAAACAAAGACGTGATCCAAAGGGTGTATGGGCGGGGCATACAGCAGGTGCTGAATCTTTTGACACAGAACATAGTCCTTGTGTGGTGAGCATAGACAGGAATTGCAGCACACCTCTGTGAAGGGACATGATAAAGGGGAAGGACGGTTATATGCACCCTCTCCCTCTTTGTTCACCAATGCAGAGCCAGTCACAAGGGGCCCTAAATTTGTCACTAAAATCAGTTTAATAGCTTTCAATGTACATACACACGGCCAGAATCTCCTTATTAAAGCCTGCACCTCTAGGCCTGAGAAGGGCAGCAGACACCCTGACTTACCTTGAAGGGTCCGGAGTGCCAGTGAAGTAGTGAATGCAGGGAGAAGTAGGGTTCTGAGGCAAAACAGACACTATGCTAGCTGTAGTGAGGAACGTTTCGGAGTCCACACAGACACCACTAGCTTTGTCACGCAAGACCTCCATCATTGTTCGCACAGTGATATTTCCTGCAAAAAGGGGAAAAAAGTGCCCCAATGGGCCTGATCCACAGCCCACCGAATTCAAAGGAAAGTACTTATACTTCAGTGGGCATTGCATCAGGCCCAATGCAAACAGTGCCATATCATATAGGTGGGAACATACCCCCACCACTATTAGCAGCTTGTATTTACAGAACTTAAACCCTGAAACATACTAGAACAGATTACAGCTGCCTTGCACTGCCTCAACCCTCTAATGGACTTTTTGCCACTATAAATGTCTCCATTCACAGCCCCAAGTTTGAATTTGGCCCATCATGTCTAATGGATTGGAAGTAATTCAAAGTACAGAGACAAGTTTCACAACTATGGGGGTGGTAAAGATAATCTATAACGTGGATCATCAAATGTTCCCAGTGGCTTTTGGCGTAGTTATCAATGTTTAACTAGACTACACTATAGTAGTATGTATATATAGTGTATATAGTACACTATATGACAGCTCTGCTACAGTTATGGTTAAGACCAGCTTTCTTTTAAAGCTCAACTGTTCTAGGTGCTTGAATTAGTTTCTATTTGTTTCCCCTCCTGACCCTCTCCTGCAGATTGAGTATTACTTTGAGTGGTGGGCATTGGACCACAGCCCCCTTACTAGTATTGTGCATTGCAGTGAGAAGTTTTTCATCCAGTCTCCTGTTGCACAAGAACTAGATTTTGTTACCATTTCAAATATCAGCAAAATGTAGAGCTTTTAAAGAGAATGGCAACACTGCTCACACATGGCTGAACTGGTGCCTTGAACAATGATTACACATTACTCATGCACAGCAGCAGATGCTGCAGTAATTCCAAAAAGGGTTCTGGCCAGCTCCAGCTATGTTAAGTGATTAGTAAATTCTGGACCAGAACATAAGCCCATTTCTGCTGAGAGCATTTCAATAATCAAAATCTGCTCCGGTAATAAAAACATCCAGTTTGGCCTGAAAAAGGGGGCGGCGGTGGAGTCTTTCCTAAGTGCATCTTCATTGCTGTAACAGAACTCGAGTCTCATAGTTTGCAATCATAGCTTGTTTCCATAGGCAGTTGGATAATGCCTCTTCCCCTCCTCACAATAGGACTGATATGAACATCCTTCTGGAAAAACACTATGCCCTCCCTCATCGTTTTCTACTAAGGTAAGTCATCTTTTCATGCTAGGAGAACAGGGGTGCACCGGTACGATATTACTCTTATTCCCATGTATCAAACCTATAACAAAAAGACAATCAAATCACACAGATGGTGGAGTGTAAAGTTTTGTGGGTTTTTTTAAAACAGCTTTCTTCTAAATTTAGGCTGAGGCGTTAAGACTTCATCCAGGAGTTTTGCTCGAGGCAATTTGTTCTATGGATTTTCCTTCCATGTAGTTTATGGACTGGCATGTGAAAATGCTCTCCTTGTACCCACTTGAGACTACGGACGAAGGTCTGGTTGAGAAAAGTGGGAATTAAGTGGCAAGAAAAATCAGTGAGGAAAAATCCTTACTACTTACCTTCTTGTTTTTCTAGGCTCTCCTGGCCTGAGCAGCAGCCTAAATGGTCCTCAGCTAGAGAAAACACTTCAGAAAAATTGAATTCTGTATCTCCAGTCCACCAGCCTTGAGTCTCTGCATAACTCCTAAGCTCAGGATGCTCAACATCAATTTTTGTAGTTAATGAAAGCTGGTTGCAAATGCACTTTACTCCCTCTATGGAAAGAGCCACAAATCACAATATACCATTACTAAAATGGAGCTAGAAGTGGTTAGAGGAGCAAAATATTTGGTTAGCAAATTAAGCCATTGACTAATCTAGACATTTCGTTGTGATAGTCACCTAATTACACATGCACAGGATTTACTCATCACGTCAAGTTTCAGGGCCTGATTCTCCAATGCATTTTGTGTCACGTTTAGATACTTATCCCTGCACCATGTGATTGCACAATGCTACCGTATCAAAATGCTATAATTTTCAACCATCTCTGCACAATGGAAAAGATTCTACAAGGTGCAAAGCAGTAGAGAATCAGGCTCTTAGATTTCCAGAAGCTAAATTACGACACTTCATTTCCAAACAGGTATTTGAAAGTAATCTTGACCCTTTGCCCGAGACCACATTAACTAGCTCATCCAACATGGTTACAATCAACCCAAAGGAATTGACACAATAGTACTTCAGCCCAAAGTTGATCTGTGTGGCATTACTTGTTGTTTGAAGAAAAAGTTAATCCCACTATTCAACACAGCATTATACACATTTGCTAAATAACTTTCCATCCCAGAAACTGTCACCTAATTATAACTGGAAATTTTAAATTTCTTGTTTGAAAATGGGCATCATTTGAAAGACCAGCAGAAGAAGAGCTCATGTGGAATAACACATAATCTGGTTTCCAATCAAATAGGAATACTGGTTTAAAGATTTTTTTTTTATGTTCAATATTTAAAATGCAATATCGAATTATAAATCCTTCTGTAAAAATGTAATGTATACTAACACCTAGTGTCTTTGTGAGCACAAGATTTGTTTTAAAACACAGTTCTCTAGATGTTACGACAATAATATGGATTGAAAATAATAAGCCTTCAATGTGTGTGTTTTGTATGACTTCCCCCTCCCCCCCAAAAAAATTCTGCCTGTATTGCTTATATCCATACACATCAGACAGCATGATTAATGATTGCTACTGCAGATACTCACCAGAGGATACAGTAAACACATCATAGGAGTAATGGAAATAATTGTTTAAACTATACTCACTATCCAAACAAAACTTGACAGTGAAGGTAAGGTAGCAGGCTTATTTTTAATAGGCAGGCTAAAGTGATTTATGTAATTTTTACTTTAATAGCATCATTAACAGCTATTGTTATAAAATCAGATTTGCCTTTCTAATGCCCACTGAATAAAATTTTAAATAGTGATTACTAATCCAAGTTAAAAAACTGTTATAAGCATTACTGCCTACTAACCAACTACAGAAACCAAGGGTCAGTGGCAGGCTGTTCATTTTCAGGAAACGAAGATTGGAATAATTTTGATTTGATCAACTGGAATATGTTATTATCTAGCAAAGCAAAAAAAACCCATTAGCACCTGTTTAAATATTACAACAATTAAACTCATTTATATTTTTTGTTCTTTCTAGTAAGTCAAATTGACAGAATTACTCAAGTCAGTGCTATGTTCAGATCAGCAAGAGGACAATAACAGGAGTATTATTCATTTACCAATGTCTATTTCCTGGATAGTGTTATAATTAAAGTATAATTCACCGCAAAGCAGAGTTTATCAAGCAATTTCATTTAAGGAAAAAAGTTCTGTGTACCAACATTATGTAGAAGACCCAATGTGATCCTAGGGACAAGGTTTGAAAAACCCAGTGTTCCACAAAGCACTGGTGAACATCGAACTTCCCTGCTAAGCGTAAGATACCAGTACCAGTGATTTTTGTAGTAAAGCTTTACTGTGATAAGCTCAAGAATAGCTGTTATGGTTGCAAAGAGAACCTCCTATGTAAAATAAATGTAAAACTCCTAAACCTGCAGAGAGGCTCCTCCTCCATTCCTTCTGCTGCTGGTGGTAGCTTTTGCAAGTGGCAGAAGTGTGAAAACTGGTCAGTTTCACTGGTACTAATAGGATCTTGAAGAGCAGAAGTGAAAAACAAACAAGAATAACTTCATGCTTCTGCCTGGGAAAAGCTATGAGTGGCAGCTGATGAAGGCAATGGAGTTGTTACAAGGAGGAGGGAGGAAAATTATTGTTCTTAAGCTCTGAGGATAGGACAAGAAGCAATGCGTTTAAATTGCAGCAAGGGAGGTTTTGGTTGGACATTAGGATAAACTTCCTAACTGTCAGGGTGGTTAAGCACTGGAATAAATTGCCTAGGGAGGATGTGGAATCTCCACCCTTGGAGATTTTAAAGAGCAAGTTAGACAAACACCTGTTGGCGTGGTCTAGATAATACTTAATCCTGCCACGAGTGCAGGGGATTGGACTAGATGACCTCTCAAGGTCCCTTCCAGTCCTCTGATTCTATTTAATGGGAAGGATGACTCAGAAGGCGGATGAAGGGTAGAGTAACAGACACACTAATTACAGCAACCAGGAGGTTCAAATAAGAGATGAGACCACTTAACATCAGCCAGATGGATCAATATAGACAGGGTCCAGGAACGGTATCTTACTACTTCCCAGGAAGTGGGGGTATCTCAGTTCCCTCCATCAGTATTTAGTATCTATGTCTGGCTAGAAGACTTATTCCTCCGGCCCATAGGGGTCTGGTAATCTTTCAAGTCTTGCCTGGAGAAATAGCGTAACTGCAGAAGGACAATCTGTCCATACAAAAGGAGAACAGTTAATGGGCTAGACTGGAGCTAGGCTGCTACCAACATCATGCAGCTTTTCATTGTTTGACTAATTTGATACATCCAAGCCATTAGACTTTTCCAATTAGACCTCTTCATAACCCCTTGATATCTTTACCCCAAATGAAAGAGAATAAATAAAACAAGCTTTGAAGAGATGTTATGCAGCCTTCTTATGATAACCAGTTTGCCACCAATTAAAACTCACCTGTGATTTTTTCTGCTGCCCAATATTTCCCAACAGTCTCCAATATCCAGGCTTCTGCTCTGTCCACAATCAGAAATGCGCTTTGGAAAGCATGGCAGGAGCTCCCATCTTCATAATAATTTCCACCTTGTCCATTCTTGTCCAACAAAGAAACTATTACATTTAAGGCCTCTTTAGCTGTTGCACCTCTTTCTAGGCCAAGCCTTTAAAAAAAAATCCAATACAGTTTAAGTAACAGTGAAAAGTCCAGTGATGTGCTGCAGTGACTCATTTATGTTAAACAAAAAGCTTTATCCTATAGTATGAGCTACAGTTTTACTGATGTCAGATGGAATCATTTCTAAAGTGTTTAACAAGAGAAGTGCATTCAGAAGTTATTGGTCAGACATCAGCAATTTCTGCTTTAAAGGTTCACTAGAAATACTAGGCCCAGAACTTTATAATTATGTTTTCATATTATCTAAACTGGTTTCTTCATCCACAAATCTACTACAATTGCTACAATTAACACAAGTACTAAGTGTAAGGGGGACTGTGTCTTAAGACAGCCCGCAAGATTCTATTTACTCTCTTTAGGAAGTGTGAATTTGACTGGTAAATAGAATGTCCAAGAATTTTCTGTAGTCAAAGATAAGTACCTTATCTTTATCACCCTTCTCTTCCTGTACTCCCACACATACTGTCCATCATACCCTCCATACAAAATTAATTGCACATCAGCCTTCACTGACTGTTTTATACTGTAGACAAAGGCATCTGTTTGGAAGTACTAAAATGCAGGGTATGTGCCAAAAGTGAATGTGACTGGCTTGAAAGGAGTGTAAAAGTAAATTTTCGAATCCTAACCAGTAAATTTAACTACTTGTTTTAGAAAACAAATCAGAAGAGTAAAATCAGTGGGGTTTAGCACATTGATCTGAAGTATTTATCTTCAAAATGAAACCATCCTAGTTAGGAAATTAGCAAACAGCTCTTTGGCTCTACTTAATTGCTGTCTAGGCAACAGATTAGAGGTTTCTGTTTATTTAATCTTTTAATCTATTTCTGCCATCAGCCAAGTGCAAGCTCTTTAGAAATGGAAATACCCACAAATATGATTTCACTGCTATCTTAACTCTGTCATACCTTACTGTACATTCATATTTTCAGTTACATTAACCTCCCATATTGAAAATTTACTGTAATAATAAAAATGAAAGTGTGTATTTACATCCACCTTCTAGAGAATCAAAAACCTTTACAAAAATGAATTATGTCTCAGCATATTTATGGAGAAGTCCTATCCAATCTAAGCCTTTCTGATAGGTGGGAAAACCAAGGCAGCAGTTAAAATCTAAATTTCTGAGACACTTTTCTCTAAAGTTGGGAACAAAATTCGACAGATGGGGCCTGATCTTCAGAGCTGTGAACTGCCCACACTTCCAACTGAAGTCAGTCTCAAAATACAGCCCTGGGTGTCTGAAGCAGGGCATCTAAAGGAGTGCCCCTTTTGAAAATGCAGCTTTAAATCACTTACCCATGTTTGCACATCAAGCCTGTGGCAGAGCCAAGGCCTCCCCATCAGATTCTCAAACAAACCTTGACATTCCACAACAAGAAGTTTGGGGAAGCAAAGAACGGAGAAGGTTGATTTTATGGTAAAAGGATCTCATTTTGCACTGTTTCCAGCTAAATGTAGAAGTTGAGCAAAGGCTAAGAATCTTTATCCCAGAGATGGGTCTGAGCACTCAGTGGAAGCAAGCCCAGCCCAAGGGGTGAGCTCACTCCAATATCTGCTTCCCCTCGCACGCTGCTGAGCATCTCTGGAGAAAGTCTCATGGCTGTGTGTATGGGCTTCCTCTAACATTCTCTCATCCTTCAGCTTTGCCAACTTCCTGCTCAAGCAGTGCAACATCTCCAACCACTGTACGTGCAATCCCAGTCACTCCCTCTCAAAGCCAGGACGCCTGACTTAAAAAATCAGATAAGACCTAGTATTCAGACAGTTGGCAGATGTTCCAGGACCTCATCCTGAATGTGCAATTAGATAGAAGGGTGCAGCTGATGCGTAATGGCCACCGGCCAACCAGCAGCATGTACTCCATCGCTCCATACGGGGAGTGCAGGCACTAACTTTCTTTTGCATTGATATTATGGATGGTCATGCATTTCAAGGGCAGAGCTTTGTTACTGTCATGGCATTTCAAATACCACTAAACAATTTTAATTTTTGTACAAAAAGTTTGTTTCAAAAGTTCTTTCCCCTGAGACACACTGGAGTATGATACCCCAATGAATCAATTAGATTTCCTGCTTCTAACAGTGGAAAACCCAACGCACTGGCAGATATCTCTGTATAACAGGCATAGTTTTTGCTGATCGAACAGTCGCTGCATTTGGCACAGCAGTCATTTCACACCTTTATTTTTTCCCTCAGAGACCCAGCCAAGAGGATTAGGATATAATTAAAGGACTGGGAAAGGCATATTGTGAAACTAAAATCTGATCAAACAAAACCTGATTACAGATTGAAGTTGGTTTCCCTGGTAATTTTTTTCTTCCCAAAATGGGCAGACTCTAGCTCCTCAGCTAAAGGATCTGGATGCCTGATTTCCACTAAAGCTGACTGAGTATCCTAACCCTCTACACACTTATGTTTCTAGAAAAGATGAGCACATAAATGACACACAAAGTTGGGCATAAGATCTCTGGGGCCCAGGCTGCTGGAGTCAGGATCAGAAGTCTGGTGTGGAGGAGGCAGGGGGAGAGGAAGAGAAATAGCACGGAGTTGCTGCCAGCTCTGCTCCTGTTGGTGTGAGGATATGTTTTTAGTGCGGTGGTTGGAAGATACTGAGGCAAATGGGACAACCTCAGAGTTGCTGTGTCCACACAGAGTCTTGAGTGTACAAGGCTGGCTCTGATGGGCCACAAAGCAGATTCTACAATCTGTCTTTGTCCCCACTCCTCTTCAGGGGAAACAATTCATTCACTTGTTTCAAACAGATAAGCACTCCTAAGGCCACCTGTAAATTATTGGGAGCAGAGAATAAAATAAGCACCTTGTTTAGGAGGTCTGTCCTACAGCAGACCTGTAGGTGAAAAAATCCAACATAACTTCTGTCTAAAGATCTGCCGATCCCCATAACTTTCCACCTCCTTAAGCCTGGCCAATTACTTTAACACTAAGCTCTTGAGTAAAAATCAATCCTCTGAGGCTTCTAGATGGGGAGGGGGCTTTAAATCCATTCTATCCCCAGCCTGGAATTCTTCATTAACAAAGGAGCTCAGTGACATGCCCTCCAACAAGGCAGTCACAGCAAAATTACAACGTTAACCTGAAATTCTTAGCTCTTCAACTTGAACTCCTAACTGTAGATTCAGACTTTCAAACAAGCTACTAAAATGTGAATGAGTTTTAAATAAATAGACATTTGAACCGATACTGCTACTTTAAAGACAAGCATCTTCAGCTAAGAGTAACGTCAACTTGGCCAAATTAGTTTTAGGAAAAGTCAAAAATAGCCAGATATTAAACAAATGATGACATTTAGGAAATAGAAATCTCTGGTAACCCCAAAGCTCTTTTCAGACAGATGTGTTAAACCTTCGTGAGGTGCCCTGGCACTTTATTTATGCATCATTTTGTCTCATGTCCACAATTAAATCAGATAAAAATAAAGCCTTCTGATTGTGGTACCTAGGACTCTTCAGAATGAACTGTTAGAATGGTAAGGAAGGAAGCAACGGTGACACTTCAAGTTTAGAATGAAATGTGTTTGTTTTTTTGCAATGTTGTTGGGGTTTTCTATGCATGCCTAACAGCACCCCACCACATTTTTGGAGTCCTGGTCCATATTTGCTGGATTTTAATTCCTAACTTGCCAGTGACAGAATTCCAGAGAAATGTTAGGCAGGCTTCTTACTTTCTGCATGAAGTATACCTAAGGAGTTGGAGTACAATCTAAGGCAGGTTTCAGAGGAACAGCCGTGTTAGTCTGTATTCGCAAAAAGAAAAGGAGTACTTGTGGCACCTTAGAGACTAAATTGGTTAGTCTCTAAGGTGCCACAAGTACTCCTTTTCTTTTTGCGAATCTAAGGCAGGAGGATGATGGCGTAGGCCCCTTCAGAAGGGCTCAGTCTCACATGGCCTCTTCATGTCTGGCTCAGATGTTAGGATTTGGGCTGAAGTGCCTGAGCAGTCTTATTGGTCTGAATACTCTTTTGTCAGCTGTAAAGTTTAGAAACAATTTCCAAGGAAGCAAGCTTGTTTTCTGAAACAAAAGCAAAAAGTATACCAAGTTTGAAAAGCCTAGAGCTAAGACTTAATGCCAACATAGGACTTGAAAGTGGGGTGAAGGGAAAATTAGGGCAGAAAAGAGTATGTTTCCTAGAGTATATCAACACTACGGGGACTATACTGGCATAGTTATGTCACTATAGCTATGCTGACACAATGCCGTAGTGTAAACCAGCCTGCACCAACTGAAGAGGGTTTTCCTGTCACCACTTCCCTGAACAACAGAAACTGGGTCAATGGAAGCATTTTTCCATTGACATAACTGCATCTACATTGGGCATTAGGTGAGCATACCTACAGCTTTCAGGGGTGTGGCTCTCATACCCCCAATCGACATTAAGTGTAGATCAGGCCGTAATTATGCTTTGATTTCTCAACGGATTGCCTTCCCAATTAATCTCAAATCATGCAACTGGTATGGTCTGCAAATGGCTGAAAAGTGGTGCTGTCAGTACCGGTGGTGTCCACATGGCCTACAGGCATTGATTCTGTACTTGCTGGGTCTCTGTATTCTGGATATAACCCAAAAGAGAATTTTAATGTCATTATCCAGTATTTTAGAAGTTTTCACAACTAAAAAGGGGAACTGCAACAGCGCGCTGGCTGTTTATAGTGATCTCTAGTTCTCCTTGGTGCGAGCTATTGTTGGCTTTGATCTTTGTCCTCTCCTTCACTGAATGAATTGTTCAGACAGTGGGTGATGCCCAACCACTACTGGTTTCTCCTTAGGTTGGCATCTACTCATATATTGCTGAGGATCCAGTGTTACTAAATGGCATATGTGCTTAACTGCTAAACTAGACTTCTGACCTGTCATGATTCACACTTACTACAAATAAAACTCTTTATCCAGGCTGTTAAAACCTAGTAGCCTGTGGGACAGATATAAGTTTGATAGTATCAACCAGCCATAAGACATGCCATTAAAAAGAGAATCTTTGCTAAACAACAGGATACAATCATTTTATTCTGACCATTACCTCCATTTATGGCAGTCCATTTGCTCCCTCACTAGAAGCAGAGTTCAGGTTTTCTATTAGCTCATTTGTGCCATTTCCTTTCTTCCTCCTGCTTGGTTTTGTTTTTATGATTCTCCTCACTGCCGCTCAATGTGCAGCTTCAGACTTACAATGCAGAGCAAGCCTTTCAGGCAGCCAGCCTGGAGTGAATGAACTTTCAGAAGTTTGTTTGCCAGCATTCAACAGAAGGGCAAAGGGTTTACATTGGAATTCATGTGCTGAAGTGGGGCTACAGTAACTTACTTATTCTAAGTTCTACAGTAACTTACTTATTTTATGCATAGGAGTAAGCTTTCTTGGTCAGAGTTGGATGCTTTAAAGAAGAAAACGATGGGCAATACAGAGCTGAGTTAATCACTTCTTCCTCACTACAGCTTTCCTTATTCTGACAATATATCACTTCTGTTCTAAATGGTAGGTAGACATGCTGCTGATTTTAATGAATGCAGACTAGGTTGAAGTGGCAATATTTGCTAGTTTGATACATTCCAAATGTTACAAAATGTTATCTTGATCATGTTCAAGGCCCTGTATAAATAGCATTTCTATAGGTGGTGTCTACAGCCTATACAGTTTTAAAACCCAATCTTAGTGTCTACTTCATTGATATATTGTGCCATTATTGCTAATGCCACAATACCCTGATTCAATACAAGCATCTTGCAGCCTTTAATAGGCCAAGTGATTGATCCGTAGTCCAGCCATTAACCACACACCTGACAAGATCCATTCCCAGCAGGGCTTCAGTTTCAGAAGCTGGCTCTCTGGTGGTGATGGCTTCATTAGCGATGCAGACTCCATGTTCATTGGCTCCCATTTCTGCCCCCCAAAGCCAGGCAGGTCTGCTTAGTACAATAGCATGAGTCTTCGGCACCTGATCAATTGCAATGTATGTACACTGCATTGGGGGTAGAGAGAGAATGCTGAATGAAACTGAAAGCTAGCCATTATCTTGCTCCACTAGAATACATTATTTTCTTACATAGTGAAGTCTAGTCAAGGAGATTTTAGTAAATTACATTTCCATACCTACAAATTCTAAAACACACGGTATTTCTAGGCTTCACAAAAAATGCGGGAGGGGAAGTGAGAGAAGGGCTATTACAATTATCACACAATTTGTATGTCTCTTGAAAAATACACAGCTAATCTTCACTTTATAGAAAGGGTGAAGCATTTTTATATTCCATGTTGATAGTACCAGAGCTCCAAAAGATTATACATATCATGAATGACAAGCTGAGAGGGAGACAGAACTCATACAGCAGCAATAGAGATACCATACCTGTCAAAACATAAGGGACACAAACCACATTTTGTAGCTAGTAATACTGTTTATAAAGACGGAATGTATACTAATCTCGACCTTCACCTGGATACAACATTAGGTGCCTTATGAAACACTAACTCCATTACTGCAACAAAACAGAACAAGCTAAAGGACCTCCTGAGAAAACACCAACCATATCCATTTAAATTTGCTGGTTGTGTATATGTGGGAGAAATAAAGACTAAGAGTTTATCAGAACACAATGGTAGTGGTCACAGGAAAGTAACGTCTAGACCAGGGATCGGCAACTTTTGGCACACAGCCTGTCAGGGAAATCCACTGGCGGGCCGGGATGGTTTGTTTACCTGCAGCGTCCACAGGTTCGGCCGATTGCAGCTCCCACTGGCCGCGGTTCACCGTCCCAGGGCAATGGGGCTGCGGGAAGCAGCGTGGGCCGAGGGATGTGCTAGCCACCGCTTCCCACAGCCCCAGTTGGCCTGGATCGGCGAACCATGGCCAGTGGGAACTGCAATTGGCTGAACCTGCAGACACTGCAAGTAAACAAACCATCCTGGCCTGCCAGCGGGGCTGCATGCCAAAGGTTGCTGATCCCTGGTCTAGACTGATTTGCCTGAATTTAAGTTTTTGCAGTGGACCATTTAAAATTACAAATCAGAAGTCTATGGATATGTTCAGACAAGAAGGGGGAAAAAACCCAAGAGTGCATCTTTGAAAAGCCAAGCAAGAGAATAATCCATCAGTTTTCCTTCACAAACACTTTTTATTTTACTCTGTAGTTTGACATCTCCCTAGCATTTAAAGATGGAAAGGTCTTCCGAAACTGTAGAAGAAAAAGCCTGATTTATTGTTAGGTTATGTGCACATATGGGGGGCGGGGGGTGAAGGAGACATTTAATAAAAAGTCAATAAGACATAAAAAAGTGAGGGGAAGTGAAGGTGAAGAAATGTTTACATTTTAGTTTTGAATGCAATTAGTACTGTGGTCACATTTTTTTTTCAGGAATACATTCCACAGTCTAGATCCTATTCTTGTGAAAACCTTCTCTTCTGTACTCATACGTCTCCCCTTACTGGACAACATTCCTGTGTAAGGTATCTGGCCTGGGAGGTCATCCTGCTGGAGAGAGGTGATTGGACATCAGCTATATCAAGTGTTTCAGTAACCTCCAGCAGGAAAAAGGTCATTCACCATAGCAACATGTTTTGTCTCTGTACCACGTTCTGAAGTCTGAGGGTACAGCGGCATGTAGTGTATAGACACTTGCACGCCCAGTTAGCATGGGTATAAATAGCAATATAGATAGTGAGGCATGCCTTAAGTGAGTAGAATGCCCTACATGTCTGAACCCTAGGATATGTACCCCACACAGCTTTCTACGTGCCTAAGCAATGCCTTCAGTGTCTACACTGCTATTTTTAAGCAATGTAGTGTCCTGCTTTCTCCATTGCGGTGAAAGGCTCCAGCAGCAGGGAAGGGCTCTGCGGCGGGGAGACAGCAGGGAAAGTCTCCAGCAGTTCCCTACTGCTGGAGTCCTTCCCCGCTACCTCCACCTGCCTGAGCCGTTTACTGCTGCATGTAGCTACACATCACAGTGGACGCAGCCTGCCTTTCACTGTGGCATGTAGCTACATGTGCAGTGCCTGTACTCTACATGACAACACTGGTGTGGACAAGGCAAGTTACTGCCAATCAAAAGGTGGTGTTACAGGGTTGTCTTGCTAGCTTCTCAACTAACTTGTTTAGAAGATAAAGATTAGATGCTGGGAGGTAGCTTTAGGTCTCTGCCCTTGAGCAATTATTTCTTTTTGTACTGGTTGGCCCATTATATGTTTTAGGAAGACTGGTAGATTCCCTCATCAGAAGTGTGACATTGTTAATAGAGGTCTCAGACATTCTCTACTCTCACCAACCAAGAAGAGCCTGAATCAGTCAGATGCAGTGACCCTGACTGTTCTCAATGCTTCCACAACTTCTACTTGTGCAAACAAGCTAACCTGTTGGAAGTAAGGCACTGTGTTTCTGGTCCTGCTCTCATCTTGCTCTTCTTGGAGGCCTATGAAGACAGGCAGATTTCCTCTGTAAAATAAGAACTTCTTATAAAGCAGAAGATGCCGTGCTTTGAAGTTACATGGAGGCTGCCTGGATTTAGAAAACTACGGTCTGCAGAAGTACTGCAGGGCGTGACTCCACAGCCTCTGATAAAGGAGAGAGAGGTTCCCCTTCAGTCCCTTTTCACAGTTGTATAGGTTCCTGTATTCATTGTTTCTGCCACAGATTCTCTAGTTTTATTCCTTCCAGCTCTATGGGTCACAGGTTGTCTCAGAACTATAACAATCTGTGGGATTGTGAAGCATGGCTAGAAAGGGTTAAACATCCTGCAAAATAAATAACCCTCAAAAGACATGTGGAGAGATGATGTTTGTGTTTTTGTGTATTTACACAGGTATGAGTAGGGTCACAATGTAATCAACAGTCACTGCCTATGCTGTATTCTGATAATTCAGAGGCCAAAAGAACATCCTATCATTTAAATGAATTGTAAACATAGGATATCTCGATATTCATCTCTCTTTGAAAATGTACTGTGAATGGTGGAGGAACAAGCAAATGAGCTATATGAATTAACATAAGGTAAGTACTGGTGATGGACATCCTTCAAAGTCATCCTAATTACTTTCTGTTCCCTGAGAAAATTCCAACTTTTCAAAAGACATGAAATTGTATAAAAGATCATTGGGTCCTGATTCTGTCATCTCAGAGCTGCTTAGGCTTCATCAGGGGAAGTTTGAGTCACAAGACTGAGGTCCCAGTTATGCTGGTACGCCCTGAATATGAGATTTGGACATTGGACTATAACCTATGAACTATTTCTGAAAGAACTCTTTGCAACTACAAAGCTCACCATCTCGGCTATGAATCTGAACCTCAATGAATTGAATGCATGTCTGTATGTATATTGATCTTTTAACCATACTCTCTCTCTTGTTTTTTAAAAATTTTAGTTTAGTTAATGAGAATTGGCTGTAGCGTGTATTTGGGTAAGATTTGGAATATTCAATAACCTGGGAGGTGCCACCGGACTCCTCGTTGTTTTTCTGGGAGGTAATGTGTCCAATCCTTTGGGACTGGTAGAACCTTTTCTTTTATATGATGAAAAAAGATTTTCAGAAATCTTCACATTTGACTTAGGTACATCGATGGAGGCCTGAGGCTGGATCAATTTAAGGGAACTGTGTGGTTTGGACTTCTGAGTAACCAGTGAGATAATAAAGAAGCTGTTTTATGATGGTTTGGTAAATCTAAGTATTGGAATATCCACCAGCTTTATGGGGATTGTCTGCCCCATTCGTTGCAGTTCACCCTAATTGAGTGATCATAGCTGGCTCCCCATTAGGACCCTCAAAGCTTGGAGCCAGGGGAACAGAGCAGATCAGGTTGGGGCTGGGTCACTCCACTTCCCGCCGCCCCATGAGTGCGGGGTTGGGCCCGCCCTGCAATCACTGGGCAGCAGGAAGTGGAGCGACCTGGCCCCAACCCGCTCTACTCCATTAGCTCGCGCTTGGGGGGGTGGTTTCCCTCCTGCCCCCCACAGACTTTGGGCGCAGCCCCCTCCGTGTGCCCCACGCCCCCACAAGGGGGCTGCGTAGGGCACCACAATGTCTAGGGACGGCCCTGGTTGTGCCCATCAGGACAGAATTATAGCAGGGCTAACTTATATTTAAACTTGGCCCTTTTGTTCGAGCTATGTGGCAATAGATCAGGATTTCTACATATGTGTGTTGCATTTAAATATTTTGTGCAAATATTGCAGCCTATAGAATGCTCATGGACTGTTTGCTGCAAGTATTCAATATTCATTCACACTTAACTAGACTGGTCACCTAAGTGACATGGTAATATTTTTGTTCCCTGACTGGATGATCATAACTTCTATATTCAGGCATTCATCCTGTTTAATTTACTGGGGGCTTTGATTTCCTTGGGGAGAGGATGGGAGCACTTAGAGAGAGGTAGCTGGAGAGAGCCAGGTCTAGGGAGTTTTAACTTTTTCCTTGTTCCACAAAAGCATCATGTTCTGATTACATACACTTACACCCCACCCCATAAGTCAAAAATGTCTGGGGTTCCCTTCCAAATCTGAGGATGTATGGAAAATAAAAAGCACTGGGAACAAGACTGATTGCTGCTCATTGAGGCAGTTTCCATGGTCACATTCACATAGTAAAAATAACGAGGAGTCCTTGTGGCTCCTTAGAGACTAACAAATTTATTTGGGCATAAGCTTTCATGGGTTAGAACCCACTTCATCAGATGCATGGAGTGAAAGTACAGGAGCAGGTATAAATACATGAAAGGATATGGGTTGCTTTACCAAGGGTGAGGTCAGTCTAACGAGATAAATCAATTAACAAATTGGAATTTCCCCAATACTAATTTCTCCCTACTGTTACTCACACCTTCTTGTCAACTGTCTGTAATGGGCCACTCTCTTACCACTTCAAAAGTTATTTTTCCTCCCTTGGTATCCTGTTGTTAATTGATTTATCTCATTAGACTGAGCTCACACTTGGTAAAGCAACCCCCATCCTTTCATGTATTTATACCT